TAATTTGCCAAATTTTTTCCAGCGGAAGCAAGCGGAGGAAAAGTTTTTTTGATACTTGCTTGATTCTAAATATCTGGGGGTTCTGTTCTATAAAATGCTGTAAATCCCCTTGCGTCTAGGATTTAAGGAAAGATTATAGTAGTGAAAAGGAACAGGTAAATCGTGATAGTCCTTCCATTACCTAATGTAGTGTCTACTGATTGGGTCTTGAATTAGATTGGATAGCAGGACGGAAATCCAATTAAATTTTTAGTTTCAGAAAGGCCGAAAGATACTTTGTATACATATTCATGGAAGTCTTTGAGTGCTCCGGCATTCAATCTAATTAATATTGATTGAATGTCTAATTGTCTTCTTTTTACTTAATATATTTTATTACTTAATATATATTTTATTACTTAATATGTTTTATTTTTTTTTCTTAACCCCTAGTCAAGAACATAATAGGACGTCTTCCCATTGTTTCATAGAGACAATAGGGAGACGATAGGGATTAGATCAAAATAAAATGGTAAAAACGGGAAAGAAATAGGGTATGTGATAGATAGTGATCTAGCTTTCTTCTATATTTTTATACTTTTTACTTAACTTAATGAAGAGCAACAAAAGAAAGAATAGGTTTTTTATTTTTTCTACATGTTAGTAGCATTTCTTTGATACCTCCAAGGGGGTCTCTACATATTTTGCTTGTGCTTAATCTTTTCTGATTATACTAGAAATCGTATAAGAACTCGTTATAATTGGATTTATTGTATTATTTCATCAACGATGTTGGGTCAGAATCACTTTTTGACTCTGCGCCAGTGATTCCACTATTATTTATTAGTGAACAATAATTGAATAATTCCTTCATAGAGATAGAGGACATAATTCACATGGATATAGTAAATCTCGCTTGGGCTGCTTTAATGGTAGTCTTTACGTTTTCCCTTTCACTAGTAGTATGGGGAAGAAGTGGACTCTAGAAGTACTACTAATTGAGTTTAGGAACTAAACTGTATCAATTTTTTTTTTATAGATCGTTCGTCAAAGCTTTTTATTTTAAATTTCACTATTTCAATTTAAAATTTAATTTTTAAATTGAAATAGAAAATATATTCATTTAGAAATTATCTTGGATTTTAGTGGAGTAATGTATTCTATGAATAATAAATAAATATGAAGAATACTCTTTCAATCAAAGAAATATTTCAATTATTTCCGTGTTCGTATTTCGAAAGTAAAAAAACGTAAAAGGAATACAAAAGGTAGGAAATTTATTACAGCTGAATTCTTCATAAATTTTCTATTTCGATGAACTGACTCTTACCAAAGTTGTATTGTATATGGACCATGAGGAAGAACGGAACCCTTTTTATTTTACTTTTTATTTTGTTTACCTCTTTACTGTTCAAAGATCAAAGAGAAAACCATTCTGTTATTCTGTTATTCTGTTATTACATTACGTGGATACACATTTTCTATGGGAAACAACATAGACATTGTAGTTGTCCAACGAGATACTGCACATACTAAAATATTGTCTTGGGCGAGTCATGCGCACTTACCGTTTGTTTTATTATTTTAGAAATTTTATTTATGTTCTGCTTGTTTTATTGAACCCATTTCATATCATGGTTCAAACGTTAAAAATCGACTCCGAAGAAGTTCCCGTGGATCATTTGTCAACTGCTCAATCAATGACTTCTTCGTCGGAATGCTAACAAAAAGATTATTTTATTATACCCATTATAGAAGTCATTGATTCTTTTGATCGGGATTCATATTGAAAATAATCAGAAATCTAGGAATTATAATCGCTTTTAATCACTTTCGATTATTTAAAATTAATTGAAATCAACACAAATAGATAAAGCAAAGAAATAGAATTGGGACATTATATACATTATCACTATGTATATTCTATATATATATGTAATTGATTTCCCTATATATAGGAAGGGAATATGACGATACTATCGTAGATTGATCTATATTAAATTAACCTGTATTACAATACAACTTTATACACAATACTAGATAGTATGGTAGAAAGATTCAGATATTTCTTTCTACCATACTATCGTATCTTATAGAATACGGATGATTCTAGTCTGCCCATTTCATTTAAGACGCGAAATTTTAATCCTTTTCTTTCAATTATTGATAAGAACTAAAGAGTCAAGTTTAATTCAAACTAATCACCTTGGCTGACTGTTTTTACGTATATTATAAGTAAAAAAGCGGTAGGAACTAGAATAAACAGTGCAGTAGCAATAAATGCGAGAATATTTACTTCCATAATCTCATTTGTTTAATTTTTCTTTAATTCGAAATAACTCGGGAGTTAATCCCATAGAGATAATAAATCTTTCGCCTGTAAATTCAATGGGATGAATTACATCTCGATGATATCGAATCGGATCAATATCATGAATAACAATATCTGAGCTATCAAATTGACTCATCGTCAAGAATTTAATAGTATAACATAGGAAGATCTTTTATCCATACCGAACTCAAAATTTGATTCCTAATCCAATCAAAAATTCCTTTATTTATTTATCATTCTTTTCCATTCTTTCTTTTCTATAACCTACTGCCCTCTTTGTACAATCATCTGATGAAGTATCATCTAACCGCCTTTCCACTTACCATTGGTTCTAAACAAACCCCACCAAACAATAGAAGCTAAATTTTAAAAAAGGGAAGGAGTTAAGTTCTAAACTCATTTTTTTAATGATCTAATCTTCTTGGAAAACAAAAGAAGTATGATAAAGATGAGTACAAGTTCCGGTATAAAAAAAAGAAAAGGAAAGAAAGAAAAACCCCCGGGTTTTCCCGGGTTAAAAAAAAAAAAAAAAAAAAAAAAAAAAAAAAAAAAAAAAAAAAAAAAAAAAAAAAAAAAAAAAAAAAAAAAAAAAAAAAAAAAAAAAAAAAAAAAAAAAAAAAAAAAAAAAAAAAAAAAAAAAAAAAAAAAAAAAAAAAAAAAAAAAAAAAAAAAAAAAAAAAAAAAAAAAAAAAAAAAAAAAAAAAAAAAAAAAAAAAAAAAAAAAAAAAAAAAAAAAAAAAAAAAAAAAAAAAAAAAAAAAAAAAAAAAAAAAAAAAAAAAAAAAAAAAAAAAAAAAAAAAAAAAAAAAAAAAAAAAAAAAAAAAAAAAAAAAAAAAAAAAAAAACTCACTAGTTGGTCTGAGTGGAACTAATTCACCAGCAGCGCAAGCCTCTTCCCTCAACAAAAGATCATCTCTCACCCTCAAAACTGCATGAACCATAACAACTGGCGTCCCACAACCTAAAGTCAGAAACAGATGAGGGCTGCACGGTAAGTACGAGCTCACCATGGTCACAATGGCCAACAAGGCCAGGACCAGTCTTCTATCAATGATCTTGTGCAGCACAACAGAATTAGGTACTACCCTTAATAGCACAAGGTACAAGCAGGTCACCAGCAGTCATTGCCACCAGAAAATCAAGGAAACTTTGCGCTTAGGCAGAAGGTTATGAAGAGTATGGTCCATATGAAGAGTATGTAGTACAATCGGAAATAGCCCAGGTTTCGGATGATACGTACCGCGGCAGCTTCGGGGGTTGCGGGGATGTTGAAGGGGAAGAGGAGCTTGAAGTCGTTGCGGGTTTTTCTGGTGTGTCTTTTGGTTCATGGGGATGTGTAGTTGTTGGAAGTGTTGATGTTGAGGTGGTGGATGGCCTTTGCATGGTGCCCATAGCTAGCCATATGGTGTATAATAATTTGAATGAAGGGTTTTGGAAAGAAGTAGTTGTTGATGTTTAGGACTGGATGTTCTGTGATATGTAAGAAAATTTTGCATTGTATTAATTGTTACATTAAGATGATAAGAAGAAGTGACTCTAGGTACTTCAAGGAAGATGGCTCGGAGACGACTTTGAACGGACGACGACTTGACGACTTTTCTCCAAATTTGACTAGAAACTGAGCCCAAATAGGCTCTGATTTCAGTATAATGCTGTTTTGCCCCAGAAAGATATCACATGAACTCTCAGACCCTTTTTTTGGGCTAAGTATCCATGAACCATACAAAACTGGTTAATTATCCCCAAATAGCAACTATCTAAGATGTCGTCAATAAGTCACGTATTCAACACGTGACTCATTTTTGAGGTAGATTGACCAGTTTTACTGAAAAGTGGTATGATTACCCTTCTCATTTTGTTGGCCAAAACAAAAAGTTATGATTTTCCAACGGGAACTGGCAGCAAGAACGTTGATCCAAGACCGAGTCTTCTTTTGTTGTCATAGAAGTCAAGTTGATCCCGAGGGACCCTGAAATCTTCACTTGGTTTCTTATGTTGCTTTTTGTCAGTCTCAATCGTTACGTAAATGAAAGGTCAGAATTGAATTTCGAACTGGAGATTTTCAAGCCACAATAATATCTTAGATATAGAATTTTCTTTCACGTACACTTGGCCATGGCAAATGCTTTACATGACTGTATATTATCAAGAAAGTAGTGTGCAATATGTAGAAAATCTGTTCACGTTGGCTACGGAAATCCAACTATAAAATCTGTTAACTATTCTGTGCCTAATTCCCATTTCACAAGGGAAAAGGGTGTAAACAAGTTCCTACAACAAGTGCGTGAAACAAGACACAGCAACTTTGTCCTGTTCATACTCAAATCAAGGTTAAATTCAACACATTGCTTAGGTCAGAAATAAGAATATGTTTTACTGAGATATGGCTACACTGTTTGTCAGACAAGCAAATATTAGAAGACGAATTAACGAGCACTTGTAATTCTCAAATTTCCTTTCCCACTCAGGTGTACATACTGAATTTGTTCTATGGCATATTTTTGGAGCTGTATTTCATTCTAATAAGAAACAGGATTCTTGTCATCAGGCTGGAAGGTTTTCTCGATAAGTATAGGTTTGTTGAGGGCCATGGCTGCCAAAGGATCATATCTGAAATGCAAGATATCTGTTATTACATTAGAGTTAAATTTAAAGGAGACCACTATTCATCTTCACAAAAGTTTCAACACACACTACGCTTACCTCATCAAAGTCACGAGCAGCCTGGCCAATTTCTATGCATGACATCTTTGTTTCTTACATTTCCATGAATATAACCTTGGGCTCTTTAACCTGGAGCAAGGATGAAGTATTAGCATCTGGTTTTGATACAAACATGCAACTACTTTGGGTGAAATTATATCGATTTTGTACCATATAATAGGTGGGAAGCCAGTTCTTAAACGAACCCGTGAGAAACCATTTTCAGCTAATAGACACTTAATCCATCGATGGCAGGATGTTCACTGTTATATATGAAAGGAATAAATCAGACACACCATGAGTGAGCGCATCAACACAAAAAATAAAACAACATAAGTTTGAATCCGAGAACATCCATCACAGTAAGAATGGAAAACTTGAGGATTTAGATAAGCCTCACCATGTATTCCTTGAAAGGACATAGCATTAGAAGAATATAATCACAAAAATGTTTTTGCTAAAGGGAACTCTCTGCTTTTTTTTTTCTTTTTTTTTTTCTTTTTTTTGGTCTCGGATGCTTATTTAATCCTATGTTATGTGAGAATGAATTACATTCTTCAAAAAAGGTTCCGAAATTTTTATAAACAGACTTCACAAATTTGATTTTAAAGATGTTTCTGGACAGAGAAAAACGAAGACAATGGGAAAACTCACTTTATAAGATAGGTGAAATTTCTCTGGCATAATTCTTCTGGAGGAATCCCTTCTTCTTTAGAATACCTGCACCGTGTCAAATGAACTGATACACAAACCTTCCACAGCTTATACATCCCAATAGTAAACTTAAAAGAGCATAATTTGTAGAAATATGCTATTACCAACCAGATCCTGTTGCATAAAATGGAAACCAAAACTTTTACGTTTTAAATGTTAGTTTTATAATTGTGCTGTTAAATTCCAAAATGCCAGTCCAAAGAGAGCGGGGCAGATCACTGACACCCGGTTGGAGTGGGATCAGCACTTATTTCTCAAATAGCTGTAACTGAAAAAATTCACAAATAGCTAACAGACTATCAAGGTTATAAGGGAAGTTAAAACTAGGAGAAAATAAAAAATACCTCCATGGAAACTTATTTTCACAAAAGCGGGATATTCCATTCATGGCCGAAAAGTATCGATGTGAACCCAAAGTTCATTTGTACTGTCAGCAAACTGGCCTGTCAAAAGGAAAAATACATAATTTCTAATTCATATGGAGCAACAACGAGAAGGTACCAGCTAAATTTCTAACACAATAAAGAGATATCCGACAAGATGCTAATAGCAAAGCAAAAAATAAAATATAAATTATAAAAAATAATCCAATTGATCAACCATAACAAAGAGATGAGAAATACAATTCAAATACTGGCTATGGTCAATACTAGGGAGGAAGATCAAGCAATGCAGGTAACAAGCAGGACATGTCAGTTTGAGAGAGAGAGAGAGAGAGAGAGAGAGATTACCAGTCTCATGCAAATGTTTTAGAGCATGACCACTGGGATAATTCTCATTGGATGCCATGAAGTTATGACGGTGCACCCTAGACTACAAAATATAAAATCAGTCAGGAGGTAGCAGATTATTGTTCCCAGTGAAACAAAAATAAATAAATATCTAACCTGATCAACAATAATCCGAGCATAATTGGATAGAGAAACTTCCAATAAGTCTTCTTCCTATTGTTATAGCTGTAGCAAGTAATCAGAATTTATTTATTCATATCATTTATCATGTAAAAAAAAAAAAAAAAAAAAAAAAAAGGAAAAAAAAAGCAATTTAAAGTTCCCAAGGTCACCTTATGACAATCCAAACTAATTTTTGTGTATGATTTTAAGCCAAAGGCCAAATGATGCATTACCATTAAAATGGTTAAAGAAAATTTTATTCTGGAAACCAATGCCTAGAGCTCTATGAGCAAAATTAGAGAAGAGTTTTTGGTCAAAGATTAAGTCTCAATAATGGTACTATTTTGCATTCAGGTTTTATTTATGTAGGAGTAAACATACAAGTAACGCAACAATATGATTCTATTTGTGAAGAAAATTCCCAACAAATTAGATTAGATAACCAAACAATAGACACCACATACACTCTAGTAGCAGCAATTGCAGCAGATAAGTTGAAGATGGGAACTGAGCTAATGATAAAACGAAGCTCCTGCATCATGAAGTAATAAGTCTATTCAATATCTATTATTAAATTGTAAAAATAAGTCCATCAAACTTTCCATAATATGAGCACTATACCTTGTGGGAAAGCTTAGAGTAAAGTAAAACAAAGGAGAAGACTGGAAGAATGAATAATAAAATCCTTCTGTCCAGTAAGACCCCAAGCTGAAACAAGATTGGGTATCAAGTTAGGAAGAACAAGGGGTTTTGGAGACCAGAGGATCACAAGTATAATAGTATGCCTGACAAAGTAGCACCCACAACAATTATACTTGAAACAGAAGGATTATATAATAAAAATATACTTTATTTCTTTGAGTACTAGACTCACCAGAAAAAGAGGGTATGCAGCAAGCAATGAGCGAGGGAGTGCTGAAGTGAAGTACCAGTGAAACGGATGTGTCTGAATAAGAGTAAAATGAAGGAAAACTAATAACATGTATTTAGATAAGTATAGTTGTCAATGAAATTTCACAACCCCCCTCCCCCAAAAAGGCAAACACACTTGATGACTCATAAATACACCTAAACGGATTTTAAAATATGGATTGTATGATAAGAAATACACAACACACTTTGCAGATCGAATGTGCAAACAAACAATTTTTGTAAGGATACACCCCACTCTGAACTTCGATTCAGAACAGAGTTGAACCCAGAAAACTTCAAATTCAGGCCACAGTAACCTTTTCCACATAATTGAATCTACTAATACAGTAAGACCTGCACTGCGAAAAATCCAAATCCGCACACTGATTCAGAAATTGTTGTTATGGTTGCAGAGACATGATCTAATGTATCTTAAGAAATTGAGAGTAGGGTAATATTCATAGTAGTAGTAGCAGTAAATCCAACACTAATATGAGACTAGTAATATCAATAATAATAAAACAACCTATGCATAATATAGCACACAAACTGCAGCATTTCAACGCCTTCCATAATGAAATTCTTCTAGTCTGTCGTTAATTAAAAAATAGTTAGGCAAAAATTACAAAATGCATAAATGATTATCCACCTTAACAAGGGCAAAGTAGAAACTTACCAACAAAAGCTCCAAGCCAAGAGGGCAAAGAAGTAACAAAATATCACATCTAAAGATAACTGTAGCAAAAATCTGAACATGGAAAATCAGGGATGTGTAAGAGATATACAAATTGAAAACAAAATGCAAGTTATAAGAAAATCATCAAAAGGCATATGTATAATTTTATTTGTAAGGAATAAAAGCAAACTTATTTCATAAAAATCATCAACGAAGTCTACCAAACATTAAATTACGATAAGATAAAAGAACAGAGAATATAATATCCTTAGCCAATGTGTCCAAGTAAGCCAAGTAGATGGGAGATTTTAAGTTTCAGTACAATGAATTCCATATATGATGCATAATCTGATTTTAGCAAATAGAAACATACCAGACAGTTTATAGCTGCATAACATTCTCCTTTAACCATATCCATATGCCAAATTGACTACAAAAAGAAAATAAGTAAATAAGTAAACGCTGCCATGACATATGAATAAGCTAGCAAAGTCAATCCATATTTTAAATCAGAATGAAAGCTAGCATGCATCACAACCAAGCACAATAAGAGCTATTAACTATTAAGGAACTATTTCTCTTTGTTTCTCAATTCCATAGGAATTTTATCCAATTGAAACAAATATGTTAACCAAAAAAATCTTCTTCTACTCCACTTCTTCTGTAGGATGCAAATGAGAAAACCCTGCCACCTCCATCGGACGATGAAGAGAATAAGAATGCTCCTTCCCAACTTTTTTGTTTCCTATTATGTGTTTTCTCACCATTGACCCTTAACATTTTATAATTACAAACAAACATTGTTTAAAAAGAAACAAAAAAGAAAGATGTGCAATAATCCTCTTCCCGTCCCTATCTAGAGCATACCGATCGTGCATTATTCTCTTATCCTTGAGTCAAACTTGCCAAAATGTTAATGGATTCATACTTGGAGTATCAGGTACTTATCTTGCCACATCAGGTGTCTAATAGGCAGTATCCATATCCAATGCTCCATATAAAATCTTGGAGTATCTTGTGCTTCATAGATTTTAAGCTTATACAACTTGCTCATAAAAATTTAAAAATAAGGCACAAAGAAATAATAAATAAATAGATATCTAACAAAACAAACTATGCTTTAAACTCCTTGTGAATTTACTTAATTTGGCAGGTGAGCTAAAACCACTGGAGTAGGGGAAGTGGGAAAAGGAATTACAGGACCAAACAACCAGTTGCAAAGGTTGGCTAGATAACCAGTTCATCCATACACATCTTTATAACACTAATCTAAAAGAAAAACAAAAATGTGCACAAGAAGAATTACCTACACCCAGTGCTAGTACATTTGGAAGTGGGCGAGTACAATAGAACAAAAGGTGGAACTGAACTGCAGTTAATATAACAAAGAAAGCTTCTACTTGAAGTCCAAACTTATGTCTAACCTGCAGAAATGAAATAAATTAAGGGTTAGCACCAAAAAAAAAATTTAATTAAAGGGTTACTTATTTTATGTTATTTTATTTATAAGAAATAAAAACTTTATTAAACTGAACAAAATACAATAAGTCCAATGGACGAAAAGTACAATGACAACTTAAAATACCTAATTGAATCATGAAAAGTATGGAGGATAATCATAAAAATATTTTTTTTAAATTAAGTCAACGGTATTAAGCTACCAGTTAAATCCAGATTGTAGCACAATTCTTTCATGCATCCAACTTTAAGTAATGGAAACAAGGCATGCAAGTTGGATTTTTCTTTCAGTTGCAAGAAAGGTTATCAAATATATTAAGAACATATTCATCACAAGTTTTCCCCCCTTTATTTTTAACATTGCATATATATTTTGGCATGTAATTGTGGAGTCTTAGGACTTATTCACCTTAGGACCACAAGTTAAAGGATATACAGCCATGACAAGTCAAAACAGGCATCACATCTGGTTTCAGAAAAGGATGAAACTACGTGAAAATGAACAAGGATTACACAAGAACATACCTGAAGACGAAAGAAGCGTAATGTAGATAATATGACACCACCTAATACCAAACGAACTGGCAAACAGCAACTAAAACAATTTAGCAAATGTTTATATAAAACATATAATACAACAAATAAACGGTTAGAATAGATGTTCAAAGAGAATGAAAAGCATACTCCAAAGCATTTCATTTAACTTTTTTCTTTTCATAAGTAATAAACTTTCGTAATACATGATCCTAAGTACATAATAAATATATGACAGTATGCCTTTCAATTCTGACCAAATGTACCACATAATGTGCAAACAAAGTGCTCTACAAACAACTCCTCTAAGAGACTAGATGACCTTCCAAATCAGCATTCCAGCAAGCAAGAAGGTCGCCCACAAATCTCAGCATGGCCATGAACACAAAAGAATGGACACTAATCTATATGAAGAGTAGATCAGAAGGTGGAATCATCACCTATTTGGTCCCATCTTCTGGGCTGTCATTCGTAGAAACAAAGCACAGATGAATGAAAATTTCAAGCAATTAAAGTACTAACCTGCAAAAATACTATAAATCTTTGATACGTGCAACAAGTCCATTGCTAAAACAGAAGGAGCTGCCAAACTTGATACAAGCAATGCACCTAGAAGAATGACGTAACGTAGTAATAAGTGAAGTTAAACCTTTTGGAACATTTAATAATTTATCAACGAATCAGTACAATTTCTGATTAGCTGATTAATGGCTCTATGAGACAAAACCCTAAAACAATTAAAACTGCACAAGAAATATGGGGATTGCCCCAAAAGCCTTTTTTGCAGTGTTACTTGTTTAAACTGTAATCGCAAGCGTAGCAGTATTAAGCAAGTTTTACAAGCTTACCAAGGAAAGTGCGAGGAACCACTCCAGGGAACTCCAAATGATCATACTATCAGGAAGGCAAACATCCATCCAACTGAACAGTTAGGCAAAAGGGCTAACACATTCCAGAGAATAACAGTTCACAGAACATATGAAGAGACAGATAAGTAAACTTACATTATCTAAGTGATGTCGATGATATAGTATATCATGCATTGCCTGATAACAAACAAGAGGGGAAAAAAACACAAAGTTAGCAAGCAGAAGAACTATAGAAGCCAAAAGAAACAAGATAGGATAAAGAAGTCGGTTGCCCAGATGACAAACTCATCTTCCCATTATCAGTTATCAAACAAAAGTTGAACTTCAAATATTCATTTAAATTCTAGCTCATATACTGTATAGAAAAAATAGTTTGGCCTGTTTGACATTTCTTTTCTCTTTACTATCTGAAATAATGAAAATCTTTTCATTTCCAACATTTTTCTCAGCAACCACAATAACATATGCGCGAGCTGAAAAATTACAAGTATATAACACCACAAATCATTCGTAAATTAATAATTTAACTCTCTAAGGTGTATATTTCCCATTTTTCTCAATTTCTTACACTTTCGGCAAGCAACTTACTGAGAGAGTGGCAAAGAAAAGTTTTACCTGAACATTGAAGCTTTCTTCAACCTTAGTGTAGGGTGCCATGAAAACATAAAACGCAGCTATGGATCCAAGTAGCAAATCGTAACCATAGCGCTCAAGAAAATTCGACGACTTGGAAGCCATTGTAAATTTAGAGAGAGAGAGAGAGAGAGAGAGAGAGAGAGAGGCAGAATTTTACAGGTCTACAGAACTGAGCTTCGTGGTTGCAAATTGGGCTTATGGGATGGGCTGGAGTGATGCTTTATTGGGCTTGGGCTTTCCTTCAGCTAAACCTTTGAAACAAAACTTGAACATCGTCAAAAGACTCAAAACTCGATCTGACTCGGAGTAACGGGCCGACGGCCATTGCAGATAGGCCATGGAAGCTGTAACAGTAACCTCACCGCCTCTCTCTCTGCACCATCACTCTTTCCCGCCAAACATTTGGTTCACCTCCACCAACTGCAATAATTGTAATAACCACCAAACCTTCAAGCTGAAAGCTTTAACACGACGGCAACAAAAGACTCCGACTTTTGCCGAAAACGACGCGTTTCCGGACTCTTTACCACTCCATACCAAGAACCCACATGCCATTTACAAGGACATACAGAGCTTCGCAAGGCGCAACAAGCTCAAGGAGGCCCTGACCATCTTGGACTACTTAGACCAACAGGGCATCCCAGTTAACGCCACCACATTCTCTTCCCTTATCGCCGCTTGCGTCCGTACAAGGTCAGAAGATCATGGAAAGCAAATCCACACGCATATACGGATTAACGGGCTCGAAAGCAACGATTTTATACGTACGAAGTTGGTCCATATGTACACTAGTTTTGGTTCAGTGGAAGATGCGCAACAGCTGTTCGATGAAAGTTCTACCAAGAGTGTGTACTCGTGGAATGCCTTGCTTAGAGGCACTGTCATTTCGGGTGGGAGGAGATACCGGGATGTTCTTCATACTTATACGGAGATGAGGGCCTTAGGGGTCGAGTTGAATGTGTATTCTTTCTCTAGTGTAATGAAGAGCTTTGCGGGTGCTTCGGCGCTTTCACAAGGTTTAAAGACGCATGCCCTTTTGGTTAAGAATGGTTTTATTGATAGCTCGATTGTTCGGACGAGTTTGGTTGATTTGTACTTCAAATGTGGCAAGATTAGGCTTGCCCACCGCGTTTTTGAAGAATTCGGTGAACGAGATGTTGTTGTATGGGGAACCATGATTGCAGGTTTTGCGCATAATAGGCGGCAAAGGGAAGCTCTGGAGTATGCTAGGATGATGGTAGATGAAGGAATAAGACCGAATTCGGTTATATTGACTAGTATTCTTCCTGTGATTGGAGATGTTGGGGCTCGAAAACTAGGGCAGGAGGTTCATGCTTTTGTGCTGAAGACAAAGAGTTATTCGAAGCAGATTTTCATTCAGTCTGGCTTGATAGATATGTATTGCAAGTGTGGAGACATGGATATGGGGAGGCGGGTTTTTTATCACTCAAAGGAGAGGAATGCAATTTGTTGGACTGCTTTGATGTCGGGTTATGTTGCAAATGGGAGGCCTGAGCAGGCATTGCGATCGGTCATTTGGATGCAGCAGGAAGGGTTTAAGCCTGATTTGGTCACGGTTGCCACCGTCCTTCCAGTTTGTGCAGAGTTGAAGGATTTGAAACGAGGGAAGGAGATTCATGCTTATGCTGTCAAGAATTGTTTCTTGCCCAATGTATCTATAATTTCTTCCCTAATGGTAATGTACTCAAAATGTGGAATCTTTAAGTACTCTAGAAGACTATTTGATGGGATGGAGCAGAGAAATGTCATTCTCTGGACAGCCATGATTGATTCCTATATTGACAACGGGTGCCTATATGAGGCACTTGGTGTGATAAGGTCAATGCTCTTATCGAAGCACAGGCCAGATTCGGTTGCAACGGCAAGGATTTTGACTACTTGCAATGGACTGAAGAATTTGAAGCTTGGGAAGGAAATCCATGGACAAGTTTTGAAGAAGGATTTTGAGTCCATCCCTTTCGTTGCATCTGAAATAGTGAAAATGTATGGGCACTGTGGAGAAGTTGATCATGCAAAGTCAGCTTTCAATATAATCCCTGTCAAGGGTTCAATGACATGGACTGCAATTATAGAGGCTTATGCCTACAATGGCATGTATCGGGATGCTATCAATCTTTTCGATGAGATGAGATCTAAAGACTTCACTCCAAACCATTTCACTTTCCAAGTGGTTCTATCTATCTGTGACCGGGCTGGATTTGTCAATGATGCTTGCCGTATCTTCCATTTGATGTCTCGTGTATATAAAGTGAAGGTTTCTGAAGAGCAATATTCTCTGATCATTGGACTTCTTACTCGTTTTGGTCGCGTTAAGGAGGCTCAAAGATTTTTACAGTTGAGTTCGTCTCTGTAGTAACAAGGATAATAATTGAACCTTCCTTCTTTCATGTGTAAATTTATTCAGCTCTTGAAATGAAACTTCTTTGTGGTCATCAGTTTTTCTTTTCTGCTATTTCACAAGTGTATAGAGACCCATTTGTATCTTCATGTATCCTAGCATTTCTGTTTTATCAGGATTTCTTTGACATCGCGGATGAGAAAAATAGGTGATCTGTAATTTTTTTCCAGACAAATATATTTCAGATACAAGTGCCTCATTTGTTTGCTGGTCAATGCAGCAGTGGTTTCTAGTTTCCTATATAGCCTTGTATAACCAAAAATTTTACTTCATAGGCCATGTTTGGATTGGATTATAAGGCAAAAATGGATCACATTGAATGGGAGAGGATAACACTGATCCAATGATGTGTTTGGTGCTACACACGATCAAGAGGCTAGATTAATTGAAATATGCTATTACATGGCCCTAGCAGGATTAGACATAATCCAATTCATATTGTTTTTACGGTATCAAACATTAAATTATAAGTATGAATCATGTCTAATTACATTACATAATTCAGTTCACCAAACGAGATAATCCAGTTTTCCTGGAATGGAATTGAGAACTCTCTTTGAATAAGAAAAAAAAAAATTTCAAATATGAACAATTGGAGCAACTATGGTGTAACATTATGAACAAAAAATCTGCAATTCTGAAGCTCAAACTATCAAAATACTTGGTTAAGTAAGAACAAGCAATTAAGAAACAAAGATATTAACCCAATACAGAATCGGACCAGTTAAACTCGAAAGGGTGGTCAGTGGACCCATCATCAAGGGGATTGACAAACATATATACATGGGACCCATCTTGGACTCCATAATCAACGAGCAAAACCCCATCTACATCATCTTTGATGAGATGGCTACGATGATGATCATGATCATCATCAGTGTCAAGAATGAAGATCAGACGGTCATAAGGGAGCTTCTGTTGGGCTTCGATTTCCCGCTTCAGATCAGCAACAGTGGCCTTGTTGCCCACTTGAACATAGAAGAGAGTTCCTGTCAAATTCTCCACCACCACCTTCATAATTAATTATCGTCAAAGTTTATTGTTCCTGAGTCTCGTTTAGAGAGAGAGGAAAGCTTATTTAGGCAATATTCATGCAAAATATTCGAAAGGTGTTCACGTACGCTGCATTCTCGACAGACTGTTACACATTACATGCACATGCTGTTAGAGTTTCTGGGAGCAAAAATCCACGGAGCTAGAAAGTCCCCAATTCCCCTGCAAAATTGGAGAATAAGACCTTCGTGGTCAAAGGAGAAGAACTTGTTGTGAAACAAAGTATGTGAGAATCTTTTTCAGATATGTTCGGATATGTATCGTTCTTCAATATGAAGGTATTTATAAAGAAATAAAAAGATGCATTAACTTTAAATAAAATAGGAAATAATAAATTATAATAGGACTAAATACAGTACTTTCCATAAACATGCCCTAACATGACATATCATTAAAAAAATTTATAAAAAAAAAAGGAAGTAATAAAAATCCTAACTAAATAAGAACTCACCATCTCAAATTCATCATGCATTACTATATGGGAAAGCTAAAATGAATGACAACGTGTGTTTGACTTAGGATTTCGCCACACATAATCTCATTTCTGGTATTAGAAACGCTTATAAATATAAGTACTTCCTAAACGAAAATGTTAATCTTTTTCAAAATACATTCGACTTAGAGAGTATTTTGTTTTAAATCTACTAGATTTGATTGGATTTTTAGAGAAAGGTTCAATCATGTCAGTTTTTTAAAAGGGGTGCTACTAGATACACTCAATTTGTATAGGCAAAAAGTCACTTTTGGTCCCTGTAGTTTGCCACTTTAACCACTTTTGTCCCTGTAGTTTCAATTTGATCAATTTTGTCCCTGTACTTTCAATTTCGAGCAATTTAAGGACAAAAGTGAGTTTCTGTCAAATGTATGTAACTTCTGTTAGTTTTTTGTCATGTGCCCCTCACGTGGAGGGGCAATTTTGTCCAATCATGCGCAGCTTAAGGTCTGCCTAGCTATGGACTCCATTCCAAATTAGACTTTGGGGATTTTCTGGGTTGGGTTCGTTAAAAATTGTGATTTCTAGGTTTAGAATTGGTTCAATTCATAGGTTTTTCTTTTTATTGTTGCTCCAAAACCCCGCCCACTCTTCAGAGTGTTCAAAGTTATGATAAAAAATGATAGCAAGACATAAAACAACAAGAACCAAATCAGTTGTAAGTCGACTTATTGCTCTGCAATCTCAACCTCGCCAACACCACAAACCCCCCCCTCAAAATTCATATCCATTTCTTCCTTAGTTTTTGTTTTGGTTTCATTCAACAACCAACCAAGCCCAAAAGCACGAACAAACACTAGCCAACACCAAAGGAAACATTAATGGCACACAAACACAAAAACCAAAAACTAAAAACATCCACAAAGCCAAAGGGGACCAAATCACAGCCTCAACCTTCTTCCTCAGTTTAATCAACCCATTTGACAACGAAGTCCAACAGGCCCAACAGCAAACCAAACAGTTGTGAAGACTGATTCGAACATGTGGCTAGCCGGGCAATTGGTGAAGATCGAAGGAAGAGTGGCAGCTGAAGCAGACAAAGTAGGTGCTAACAAATGCATCATTGTGAATTTGAGTATAGAGCCGACGACGAGAGTCGAGAAGACGAAGTTGAACTCGTTGATGGAATTTCTCACCCTCTCCTTGCCCTCAATCAAAATTTTTGAAGAACCCTAACCCAGAAAATCCCCAAAATCGAGTCTAATTTGGAATAGAGGAAGGGTAGCTTGGCAGACCTTAAGCTGCGCATGATTGGACAAAATTGCCCCTCCACGTGAGGGGCACATGACCAAAAACTAACAGAAGTTACATACATTTGACAGAAACTCACTTTTGTCCTTAAATTGCTTGAAATTAAAAGTACAGGGACAAAATTGATCAAATTGAAACTACAAGGACAAAAGTGGTTAAAGTGGCAAACTACAGGGACCAAAAGTGACTTTTCGCCATTTGTATACTAAATTTGCGTTACAAAGGATGAAGAATAAATTTAATTAATTAATAAAACGGTGACACGTAATTAGAGCATATAATAAAAAAAATAAAAAAAGCAATGTTAATTTAACAAAAAGTTACCACCGCACCGTTTCCCACCACAACCAACGTTACTGTTGTTGCGCCGCCTGTTGCACCACCACGGCGCCCATCACTGGACCGTCAATGCTGCCACTTTCGTAAATTTGGAACTCATTCAAGGGTACTTTCGTCTCGTCACTATTAGGCAGTTAATCGCCGTCTCTCTATCTCTCACTCTCACTACAGAGTGTGACTAGGAGGGAGGACGATGAATTACGAGCAGAGGCTCAAAGCCGCAGCGAAAATCATACTCGCCGACGACGCACGCGCCGGCGACGAGCGTGTTAGTGCTGAAGAGCTCGGTGTCACGGCTTCACTAAAGCCTCACCAAGTCGAAGGCGTCTCGTGGCTCATACGCCGATACAATCTTGGCGTCAACGTCATTCTTGGTAAGGAGCTGTCGTATCATTTCCGATGTGTTTGGTTTTCGAGAAAATTTAAAAAGAAAAAGTAGAATTAAATATTTTTAATGAATTAACTTGGATGCATTGGTTGAATTTGCAGGAGACGAGGTAAAGCTGCAAGTTTTCTGGTCTTATATATTGAATGAGTTCAAAATTTTCCTTAAATTTGAATGTGATTTTATGAGTTTGAATTTTAGTTATAATTTTCGGGAAAATGGAAGTAACTGTTCAGCTGGTCATTATTTCCTGTCAGTGAAGATTCTGGTGTTGATTGTTAAGGCTTGTGCAATTCATTTTTGTAATAAGCTACAAGTACTTGCAATATATTGAGCAAAAGTGACATATTCTTTGCCGTGTTCATTATACTTGAATCTAAGTGATTGGTTGGCAGATGGGACTGGGCAAGACTTTGCAAGCTGTCTCTTTATTGAGCTATTTGAAGGTTCACAAGTTGTCACCTGGGCCATTTTGTGAGTTTCGTTTCTGTTTTTGGTGTGAAAATCTTGAAGTTTATATTTTTGGTATTGGTGTGCCTGATACATTTGTTTTCTTTTCATCAATCAACTATCCACAGTGGTATTGTGTCCTCTAAGTGTAACAGATGGTTGGGTCTCTGAGATGGAGAAATTTGCACCAAAACTAAAAGTTCTTCGGTACGTTGGTGATAAAGAATATAGGCGCATTCTTCGCAGGACAATCTACGAGCATGTAAAAGAAGAGTCCTCTTCATCTGATGTAAGCTCTGGTCCTGTTGTGTAGCTATTGGAAGGCTGCAGATGTAATCCATTATTAATGTTTGACGCTAAAGGTTAATAATTTTAATAAGCTTTAATAAGCTACTACTTGTTTTGTTGATATTTTCAAGTTGGGCCTGTCGACAGGTATTGTCGTTGCCTTTTGATGTCCTATTGACAACATATGACATGGTGTTGGCAGATCAGGATTTTCTTTCTCAGATACCATGGAGTTATGCAGTAATTGATGAAGCTCAAAGGCTTAAAAACCCTAATAGTGTATGTTTAAGACATCTTAAACTCTCTCTCTTATATATGAATGAACTCTATACTTGTACTGAGTAACCTTTTCTTATTGTGAATTAATACTATTTACTCCAGTAATTACTGCCCTGAAAATAATCATACACTAGATACAGTTATTCAGTATACGACTTTTTGAACCACTGACTTTTAGAAATGAAATGACAGCTTACTGCAGATCAGTTTGGAATTTTCTTTTAATTTTTAAACATTTGCCTAAGACAAGTTCACATGTCGAATTTTTCAATTGTTATTTACCATGTAAATTTTTGCTAGGTGGCGATAAAAAGGGGTTAAAGTTAGACTACTTTTTATTTTCCTATAATAACTTTCATCCCAGACACATACGTGGTTCGACCTTAATAGGTTCTGTACAATGTCCTAAGAGAGCGCTATCTTATACCAAGACGGCTACTGATGACTGGCACACCCATTCAAAACAATATCACTGAACTTTGGGCTTTGATGCATTTTTGTATGCCATCAGTCTATGGGAAACTGGATGAGTTCCTTGCAACATTTAAGGAAGCTGGAGATCCTTCATCAGGTTATCTTCTTACCTGTCATAAGTAGTTTATGTGGATTTTATTTCTTATAATGTGATGTGGAAAGCTATAATTGTAATAATTTCTTCCTGGGATATCAAAACAGGCCATGATACAGCTAAAGTTAAGGAGCAACTTAAAAACTTAAGATGCATATTGGGAGCTTTCATGCTCCGGCGTACGAAATCTAAACTTATTGAGAGTGGAGATCTATTGCTGCCACCGCTTACTGAGATAACAGTGTATGTTCTCCATCCCTTTTTTCCTTGTAGACATAGTGTTGATGAGGCTGTTTTATGATGCTAAGGTGCATTATCTTGATAGGCTGGCACCATTGGTCGGATTGCAAAAGAAGGTGTACATGTCAATACTGAGGAAGGAGCTTCCTAAACTACTTGCTGTCTCTTCTGGAGGTCCAAATCATCAATCCTTACAGAATATTGTATGTTAGTTTTTTGATTTTTTACCCTAAGCATCTCTTTTTTCTATTTTGTTACCCTACGCATCTCTATTCTTGTCTTCCCTTCATGTGATGTGATATGGTACGTTGGTATTATGAACCCCTTTATCCTATACATTCTACAAAATCAAAAACACAGAGAAGATATTTTATTTCCCATGGTTTTAGGTTGACCAGTGCAATATCACTACTTTTCTTCTGGAAAAGTTGTGGATTGAAGAGGTCCTGTTGGCTGGTAGCTGTGAATTCATAGTATGGTACATACATTTCAAAACCTGTGTAGGCTAGCAGCCAAATTCCTTTGCCTAGTGTCATTGTCATTTTCTGAAGAAACTTTACTTTTTGCAAATGTAACTTTCAAAAAGCACCCTCTAGTTTGCTTCCTCGATGTTGCTTTTCCATATCAGAAACTTTGATGAAGTAGTAGCAGACGCAGAACTGTATCAAATGCATCTAAAGCTACTTTTCCTGTAAAACAGAGTTTATATGCTTATTCAGCGTTTCATTGTTTATTTGTATTGCAGCTAGTATTGTGATCAATTATTTATTTTGATTGAATGTTTATCCTTTGCCATTACTTCTCCCTCTGTCATACAGGTGATACAGTTACGAAAAGCATGTAGCCATCCTTATCTCTTCCCGGGTATTGAGCCCGAACCATATGAAGAGGGTGAACACCTTGTTCAGGTATCGCTGATTTTAATTTGGTAAATGATAATGACCTAGGTGTGTAAACCGAGTCATGTAGTGTCGAAACTCTAACATCCGAAGATTAACAGAGGAAAATAAGTCTCTTTTTGCTTTCTTTCTGAAAGGGAAAGCCTGTGATCCCTGAGTAGTACTTTTAGTATGCCTTCTGCTCACTCGTAATATTTCCTGCCAACCAATCTCTGTTCATTCCTTATCTTTTCATAGGCTAGTGGTAAACTTATGATTTTGGACCAACTACTTCAAAAGCTGCATGGGTATGGACACCGTGTGCTTCTCTTTGCACAGATGACGCATACCCTTGACATTCTCCAGGTTTGTTTTTTTTCCTTTTGTATTTTTTTTTCCTGTCTCATGCTAAATGATAAAATGCTTCAGCTTGTTTGCATATGTTACTCTGCATTTTAACAAATTAATATTCTCATACGCAATGCAGGATTTTCTAGAGTTAAGGAAATATTCCTATGAACGCCTTGATGGATCAATTCGGGCTGAGGAGCGCTTTGCTGCCATAAGAAGTTTCAGCACACAATCAACCAAAAAATGTTTGAAGTCTCAACCTGATCAAAATGGTGCTTTTGTCTTCATGATCTCTACAAGAGCTGGTGGAGTTGGCTTGAATCTTGTGGCTGCTGATACTGTGAGTTTTGGCAAACAGTTGTGTACTGCTCTTCAATCACTTATGTTTAGACCTGAAACTCAGGACCTGTAGGTTCTATTGTTATATCGTTGGATCAGATCTTTACATTTTTTAGAGTACAAGAAAGTTCATAATCATTTTAAAATCTCTTTGTATCTGTCAAATTATATATCAAATGTTTTTAACCACAGGTTAAAAACTTTTTAGTTCTCTTGAGACATTTACAGTTGAGATTGACATGTAATAAATAGTGTACTATTGAATCCTGAAAGTGCAAACTTTAAATGGCCTTCAAACCCTGTTGAAGTGTTGATGCTCAATAGTCAGAAACGTGAATTACTGCAATTTCACGTAACTCAAGAAACCTTTGAATCACTAGCAAGAAACCTTGGGGTTGACGAGTGACGTTCTTATCTCCAGCATATTACTCTAAGAATGTGTACCCTGCTCTTGGTGAGAATGACAGAGTAATTTGGGGAGGTTTGTAGTCTGTTGAGGAACTTATAGTAGTCTATGTTGTAAAAGTCCCAGTAAATTGGTTTCTGTAAAGCACATCATAGTACTGACGTACTTTTATTTTATTCTTATTATATTAGGCATATACTTTTCCCTGACATTCTTATGTTCAATTTGCATACGCTAGGTTATATTCTATGAGCAAGATTGGAATCCCCAGGTTGACAAACAAGCTCTTCAGCGGGCTCACAGGATTGGTCAAATGAATGATGTACTGTCAATAAACCTAGTTACAGGACGTACGGTGGAGGAGGTGAGATCCTATACTTTTTTTTTCTTTTCTTTCGATTGAAGAGTTCCTATACATGACTCATGAGACATTGAACCCCATTATATGTATTGTATTCAAATGTGTCAATATAGGTTATCATGCGGAGAGCGGAGAGGAAGTTGCGGCTTAGCCATAATGTTATTGGAGATGATGTTATGGACCAGGAAGGTAAAGAAGAAGCAGGAGTTGAACCTAGTGACTTGCGATCCATCATATTTGGGTTACATCTCTTCGATCCTGATGAAATCAACAATGATGAGTTTGGGATGTCAGAACTGAATGCTATGGCTGAGAAGGTAATCTCAGTGCGCGATAAACAGATAGCAATTGAGGATGAGAGGAAATTTGAGGTCAATCCAACAGATGTTTTGCATGGACATGATCTTGTTGCAGGAGAAAGTAACACTTCTCTTAGTTTCAATTCTGGTTTTGATGAAGCTTCATATCTCTCTTGGGTTGAAAAATTCAAGGACGTATCACAAGAAAGTGGAAATGAAAATACGGATTTGAGAAGTAGAAGAAACTTTCTCGAGGAAAAGCGTCTAAAACGTGAGGCTGCAAAGAAGAAGGCAGAGGAGGAGAAGTTATCTAAGTGGGAAGACCTTGGGTACCATTCATTGTCTGTCGAGGACCCTGTCAGCCCTGTGGATAGTGACATGATGTCTGATTCAGGTTCTGTCCAGTTTGTTTATGGGGACTGTACACAACCATCAAAAGTTTGTCCTTCTGAACGTACCATTATTTTCAGGTAAATTTAATTTTTCTAAATGCCTCCTCTTGAGTGCTCACATTATTTTGCATTGAATGAGTCAGAACAGTTAATGTGTCTTCTTGTGTTCCTGCTATTTCGTTCTTGATACAGTAACTTTTTGTTTGTTCATGCTTCTTAAAGCTCGAATATTCTTTTTCCTTCCATTATTATTTTATAGAAACATATTCTTTCAGAGTATGAGCATGATGTAGGCTGTCAGTGGTTTTACCACCAGACCTGACTTAATATGTTTATTTCGCAGCTGTGTTGATGATTCTGGACACTGGGGTCATGGAGGAATGTTTGATGCACTGGCCAAGCTATCTTCAAGTATCCCCGATGTATATCTGCAAGCTTCAGAATTTGATGACCTGCATCTTGGTGATCTTCACCTTATAAGAGTTAATGGTTAGCCTCTGGTCTCTCCTCCTGAAATATTATCTCAATTACCCTTGTTGCTTATAAGACAAAGGAATCTCTTCTACTCAGAAGCACGAGTAGGAGAGAAATTTGATTATATCAGTTACAACACAGCAATATTTTTCTTTTTCCATGTTCTGTCCGAAGTTATAATGAGAAGAGTACGAGTAGCTTTTAGCTGCAATATGCACTATGCAGGAATTTGTTTATCATGTCAGCCAGAAGTATGTTTTACATTTGAACTTTCTGCATTACCTATTTGTTACTATGTAGAGGATGCGAATGAACAGAAGATGGACTGTAATCCCCCTCAATGGGTGGCTTTGGCTGTTGTACAATCTTATAATCCCAGGCGTAAAGTACCCCGAAGCAAGCTTTCTATTCCCGACTTGGAAAGATGCTTATCGAAGGCATCATTTTCAGCTGCTCAGAATTCTGGTAAACATTATAATTGAATCAGTTCAAAGCTGACTATGCTATTCTTGCCTTGTTATTTCACCCCATGGTACATTTGAAATGCAAAAGTGTAGTTCTTTTCTTGTTAAGGACGTCAAGATTTCATTGGCTAACTTCGAGTCAGACATGTCGGATTTATACTTTTTAAAAATGTCTCATGTCGCATTGTTCTTTCTTGATTTTAACAGCTTCAATCCACATGCCACGCATTGGGTATCAAGATGGATCAGATCGTGCAGAATGGTACACAGTCGAACGTCTTCTACGAAAATATGCTTCTCTGTACAGCATAAAGATATATGTGTATGTTTTCTTTCTCTTCCTTCTCCCATCTTCTGCCAACACGCACACCGATGCACATCAAACTAATTTCTTGAAATCTTTGCAGGTATTATTATAAGCGGTCTGCTTGACGCTTTGGACTGCTCTCATGCTGGACGTGGTCCTTGTCTCCCAGGCCTGTGGCTGATAGAGTTAGATTAACAAAATGTGCCTCTACGACCTTTCCTGACTTGTAATTAGGCTCAACATCCATTATAAGATATCCTTCTCTTAAAGTGCCTATGTTGTTGACCTTTCTCTTGTTTGATAATGTTGTAGTGTGTAGGAAGTAGAAACATGACAAAGGGGAAATTTCGAAAATTCATGTATGTTAAGATTTGAATAAAAATAAAAGAAGAAAACAAATGAATTCCAAATGACTCATTTTATTCCGAATGCGATACAATTAGTTATTTTAAATACATTCAAACTTATCTTTTTTTTTAATAACAAATTTTAGACATGCTCGTATATCCAAATCATTTCTTTCAAATCCATTCATCGATCTATTTGGATAAGGGAAAATAACTCAGAATTTAACTAAAAGTCTGGAATTTAAGAGGAGAAATTGACAATTTCCTTGTTTGGCAATTTTAGTACGGAATTTATTAAATGACATGTAGAAAAATTGTGGAAATTGGGGCATCAAATTCCTGAGTTTAATTTTCACTAAAATAGGTGTCATTTCACAATTTCCCTAATGATAGAAATCTAAATTCTGCAATTTTAGAATTCTATATAATTTTCAATTTCTCTATATAATTTTCAATTTCTTCATTCCAAATGAAGGGTAAAATTTTTGGAAATCATTTTACAAATGTTCGAAGCCCCAAGTTACCTCACCTCTCCACCCTTGGCTGTGAAAAGTTAGATGCCTGCCACACCAATCCACCTGCCAACGTTTACCAGCAGAAAATAGAAACAGAAATAGATGATTTGCGCCTTTTGGCACCCTTCTGTAAGAAGAAAAGCTTCGGACGAAACCACAAATTAATTCATGGCCGCGAATCCCATTTCTCAGGGTCAAGGACTAGCAGTCTTCAGAAAGCAACTCTTCAGTCCCAGCCTCAAGTCCAATTCTCAGCCTGCTTCTTTTCTCAGGTGTGCCTCTTCAATTTGATTTCCTTTCCTACATTTTCTCACCAGGCAAACACAAATTTTACTTTTTTTTACATTGCTTGTTTTTTAACAATCGTCAAAACCCAGGTGCTATTCTTCTCAGAAAACCGAGAACCATAATGAGAATGATGAACAACAGCACAGAGCTAAACAACCCAAATCGTCAACCCCAAAAACCAAAACGGCTAAGGATATGGCCAGGCTTGTCAACACCAATCCATGGTCGAGTGAGCTTGAGTCTTCTCTCTCTACAATCTCTTCCTCTCTCTCCAAGACCACGGTGCACCAAACACTCCACCTTATCAAAACCCCGCACAAAGCCCTTCAGTTCTTTAAGTGGGTAGAGGTAATGGGTTTCTCTCACAATGACCAATCCTACTTCTTGATGCTTGAAATCTTGGGTCGAGCCCGAATTCTCAATGCAGCACGAAATTTATTGTTTTCAATTGAAAAAAAGTCTAATGGTGCAGTTAAACTCGAGGACCGCTTCTTTAATAGCTTAATAAGGAACTATGGTCGAGCTGGGCTGTTCCAAGAGTCTATAAAGCTTTTTACTACAATGAAGTCGCTTGGTGTATCGCCTTCTGTTGTTTCATTCAATAGTCTTCTGTCGATTTTGCTTAAAAAGGGTAGGACAAATATGGCCAAGAATGTATATGATGAAATGCTCAGTATGTATGGAGTGACACCAGATACATATACATTTAACATTTTGATTAGAGGGTTTTGTATGAACTCCATGGTAGATGAAGGTTATCGCTTTTTCAAAGATATGTCGGGTTTTAGATGTTACCCGGATGTCATTACCTATAATACTCTTGTTGATGGGCTATGTCGAGCAGGGAAGGTTGAAATTGCCCATAATGTGGTGAAGGGTATGAGTAAGAGAAGTGGGGATTTGACTCCAAATGTTGTTACTTATACGACCTTGATTAGAGGGTATTGTGTGAAACAGGAGATTGACAAGGCTTTATGTATTTTGGAGGAGATGACTACTCGAGGGTTAAAACCAAATGGATTTACCTACAATACTCTAATTAAGGGGCTTTGTGAAGCACAGAAGCTAGATAAGATAAAAGAGATTTTGGAAGGAACAATGATTGGTGGAGAATTTACTCCAGATACATGTACGTTCAACACATTGATGCATTCACATTGCAATGCAGGAAACTTGGATGAAGCATTGAAGGTTTTTGCAAAGATGTCAGAGTTAAAGGTTCCACCAGATTCAGCTACATACAGTGTTTTGATACGCAGTTTATGTCAACGAGGGGATTACCTTAGAGCAGAGGAGTTGTTTGATGAGTTATCAAAGAAAGAAATTTTGTTAAGGGATGATGGTTGTAAGCCTCTTGTTGCCTCTTATAACCCTATCTTTGGGTATTTATCTAGTAATGGGAAAACTCAGAAGGCCGAGGAAGTGTTTAGGCAGCTAATGAGAAGAGGAACACAAGACCCTCTGTCCTACAAGACTTTGATCATGGGCAATTGTAAGGAAGGTTCATATGAAGCTGGGTATGAACTCTTAGTCTGGATGCTTAGAAGGGATTTTGTGCCTGATGAAGAGATTTATGTATCCTTGATTGATGGCCTCTTGCAGAAGGGTAAGCCCCTTCTTGCCCAACAGACTTTAGAGAAGATGCTAAAGAGCTCTCATCTCCCACAAACATCTACTTTCCATTCTTTACTTGCAGAACTTTTGAAACAACATTGTGCCCGTGAATCTGCCAGTTTTGTCACTTTAATGTTGGAGAAAAAAATTAGACAAAACATTAATCTCTCAACACATCTTGTAAGGCTACTTTTCAGCCGTGGGTTCCGAGATAAAGCATTTGAGATTGTAGGGATGCTCTATGAGAATGGGTACTCAATTAAAATGGAAGAACTGGTTTGTTTCCTTTGCCAAAGTAGAAAGCTTTTAGAGGCATGTGAAATGTTGCAATTCAGTCTGCAGAAGCATCAAAGTGTCGATATTGATAATTTTAACCAAGTTATTGTAGGGCTTTGTGATATAAATAAACTTTCAGAAGCATTTGGCTTGTACTATGAACTGGTTGAAAATAAAGGCTATCAGCAATTGCCCTGCTTAGATTCTCTAAAATCTGCCCTAGAGGTTGCAGGAAGATCAGTTGAAGCTGAGTTTCTATCTAAAAGGATTCCAAGACAGCAGCTGCTGGACAAATCTGGGAAGTCAATACTACAACTGTAAGTCAAGTCCTCAGCTGCTGTACATATCTTTCTTGCTGCTAAATGGTGGTTTTTAAGATTTCCTCGATCACATCTCAGCCTTGTAAATACACAGTTGTTGCTGCCCTCCTCGTACCACTTCTTCTCAGCGTTTATTCGATCCCTCGTCTCAATTTCACCCTGACCCCACATCTCAACCATTGGAGCATATACAGTCCATCTGCAGTCCAAAGCTCATTTGAAACCAAACTCATACATACCCATTGCAAACTACAAGAACAACAAAATCAATAACCACAGATTGCGAAGTGCAGTGCAACACAAAATGGATGATATATTGGCAAGGGAATTGTGGAGTGAAATCATAGAGAGAGAGAGAGAGAGAGAGAGAGAGAGAGAGAGAGAGGGTGAATCATGACAACCTGAGGTGGTGGATTCGCAATTTGCGGAGTGGCAATAAAGTTGTGATGCACAGAGAGAGAGAGATGCAATGGGAGAGTAAGTATGATTGTTTGAGAGAGTTTTGAAAATGGATTGGGTTCTTGATCAGAAATATTTTGAGAGGAGATGATATCGGGCTTTTGGAATAGAAATTCAAGGGTGATTTTGAAAGGGAAGGAGGGTATCATGTAGAGACAGAAAGCAACAAAAAGTTTAGGGTTGAACCCCAACTTGAGTCAAGTTTTGAAGGTATTTTGGTCCAAGGTTATCTTATCAATTTAGGAAAAATAGTTTGATGGACTTCTATATGGGTTGATTATTGAACAGAAGAAAACTATAAGCACCACAAAGAAGAGAATATGATCTGTGCCTTTCTGCAGAAGTAGATGGTATGATTTTCTACCACCTGGTTTTGGTTATTAAGCAGGGAGCTGTTGTACTACATTTGTTTTCCATTCCTTTTGTGAATCAGATTTATGAACTTCTGTAACAGGAAGAATGGTGGATCTTATTTACTTAGTTGGTTCCGTTGAAACGGTCTCTTGGGTTGGTTTATGAAATTTTCTTTCATCTTTTTTGTTACAGATGATTGAAGAGAATGTAGCTTTGCAGCAAGCTTTTCTCTTGGTTCCTTTTTCCTTTTTAAGTGGCAAAGCTCTAACTAGAATGTACCCAATCCTGAACAGACAACCGAAGCCTGGATGGAAAGCAAATGACAAAAAGCTCCAAATGGCTTGAATAATGTGATGTGGTTGAAGGAGAAAAAAGGACAATTCAGCTTAAAAAATGAAAAGGGGATATAATCAATTTGATCATTTAAGAGGGTTTTTTTTCCTGGTTAACAACCAACGGGAGAACAGAAGTGTCATAAGGTGTAAAGAGTGTAAATTCCTCACTTTTTAAAGATTTCAGAATGAGAGGATTTAGAAATGATACTTTTTACAAGAAGTGGTTTTGAAAATTATCAGACAAACTTGGGACTATTATCAGTTGCTAATTAGGAAATAATTTACAAAATTAATCTACAAATTCTGAACTATCGATTTTCATTTGCAGTGAACTGAAATCTTTTCTTACAAAATTAAAATGGTTTTGAAGGGTATTCACAGTTAGATCAGACAGTTAGATCTACTAAACCCGCAAAAATGGGCTGGCTTACTTGGAGAATTCATAAGTTAGCTAAAGGGCAATTTTAACATGGAAGAAGTAGGAAATTCTGCTACCTATTCTCAATCTGTTTTGTTCTCTCTCTTTTTTTTTTTTTTTTTTTTTTGGTGGTTTCTTCTTTTTCTTTTGGTGGACTATTCTAACCCTTTTTCTACAATTCATACTTTTGAAGCAGAAAGTAAGTAACCATTGGGTTTCAACTTTTCATTCATTGTTTTACCAAAAAAAAGGAGAAGATTTTCCCCTTGAAACAGTCACACTCCTAACTCCCCCAAGAAACCCATACAATCACCAAACCATAATAAAGTAGGCATCTCTTTCTTTTCATGCCCATCTCCTTTGAAACCAACTCCTCTCCAACACCAAGCCCAGTTCCCCCATATATACATGCCTTCAACTTACACCAAACTCAGACTATTTCATTGCTAAGCCTTCTACTCCTCCTCATCATCATCATCCTAAAGATGTCGAAGCTCGAAAGCAATGGCGCTAATGGTTCTTCCAAGCAATTCCATGCACCAAGTAGGCACGCTCCTACACCAGGGAAGGCAACAGTCCTTGCATTGGGCAAGGCCTTCCCAAGCCAACTGATCCCTCAGGACTGCTTGGTGGAGGGCTACATTCGTGACACCAAATGTGTAGATGTTGCCATTAAGGAGAAATTGGAACGCCTGTGTAAGCAAAATTATTTGCGTTTTATTATCTTGAATCTCTTAGAACTCATCTATTTACTTGCTGGCTGCCCTCTAAATTACTTTTTGGCAAAACTATTCGTATCCTATTTACTGATTTCATTGGCGACCGCCAACTACGTAAATGAGTTTCACCTCTACTAGTGATGTGGTCAATAAATATACTCCAAATAATTCTACATAATAAGTAAATATGATACAGATTATGTGATCAGCTAGCTAATGTAATTCCTTTTTAATGTGGTACGTTTAACATTACGCGATATTTTGAAAGGGGCAAGACTCCCCATGCTTATCTCTCTTCATTTTTGTTTTTGTTTTTCCTAGGCAAAACCACAACTGTGAAGACTAGATACACGGTCATGTCCAAGGAGATCCTGGACAAATACCCTGAACTAGCAACTGAGGGCTCAGCCACCATCAGACAAAGGCTTGAAATTGCAAACCCTGCAGTGGTACAGATGGCCTTGGAAGCTAGCCTTTCTTGCATCAAGGAATGGGGTAGGCCAGTTGAAGACATCACTCACATTGTCTATGTATCCTCAAGTGAAATCAGACTACCTGGTGGTGACCTCTACCTTGCCAGCAAGCTTGGCCTGAGGAACGACGTGGGCCGCGTTATGCTCTACTTCCTAGGCTGCTATGGTGGTGTCACCGGCCTCCGGGTTGCAAAAGACATAGCTGAAAACAACCCGGGAAGCCGGGTCTTGCTAACCACTTCTGAGACCACAATTCTTGGTTTCAGGCCACCAAACAAGGCACGCCCTTATGACCTTGTTGGGGCTGCGCTTTTCGGTGATGGTGCTGCAGCTGTGATCGTTGGAAGCAACCCAAAACCAGGCCAAGAGACTCCTTTCATGGAGCTCAACTATGCTGTCCAGCAGTTCCTCCCTGACACACACAATGTGATTGATGGGAGGCTCTCGGAGGAAGGCATTAACTTCAAGCTTGGAAGGGACCTGCCTCAGAAGATTGACGAAAACATCGAGGAGTTTTGCAAGAAGCTGATGGCCAAGGCTTCATTGAAGGACTTCAATGAGTTGTTCTGGGCTGTTCATCCAGGAGGACCTGCCATTCTTAACAAGCTAGAGAGCACCCTCAAGCTGGGCAGTGATAAGCTAGAGTGCAGCAGGAGGGCTCTGATGGACTATGGAAATGTTAGCAGCAACACCATTTTCTATGTCATGGAGAATATGAGGGAGGAGTTGAAGAAGAAGAAGGAGGAGAGGGAAGAATGGGGGCTTGCCTTAGCTTTTGGCCCTGGAATTACATTTGAAGGAATCCTCATGCGCAGCCTGTAGGAGGATCAATTGTTACCATGCTACATTGCATTTAAGATTCTAAGTTAATTTGGTCATTTTAATTTTTAATGAAATGGAATGGAGAAAAGGATATGTAGCCAAAATCAAATTGGCCTTCACATGTAGCTTGGGGTCTGTGACATGAAATTTATGAATTCCACTGCAATTTATTGCTAATCATTTATCAACGAAACCATTTCTTTTCAGTTATAAGGGATTGGGAAGGATCGAACTCTTAACTTTTTTTTTTTTTTTGCCAACGAAGAAAGTTCTATTAGAGACGAATAGCTAAGTTTACATCACTAGCTAAAATATCAAAGATCCACTCGGGCCACACTCGGTCCCAAATGTGGTTACCACCTACTCTAGACACAAAGGCCGCAACCTCGTGCGCTGCCTTGTTACACTGACGGGGAGTAGCTAAAAAAACAACCTGTTGGAGCCTGCCAGCAAGCACCTTAATATCAAACACCATAGCCTCCACCGCAACATCAACTTGACGCTCCCCTCTAAGCATCTGGATCAATTGCATCAAGTCAGATTCAATCTCCACATACACCAGTCGACCCCTAATGCAAGCCAGCAAGGCTTCTCTTATCGCCTCCGCCTCCATCATCAAGGCCATACTACCCCATAATCCCCCTACACCCCCTGTCTGCACCAGCCACCCATCAGAATCTCTAATAACCCAACCAGCCCCTCCCTTTTGCGTCTGCTGTAGCCAAGCTCCGTCACAATTAGCCTTAACCCAACCATGTGGCGGCTTAGTCCACGCAGTAGGCACCTGTTGAACACGATCTGGCGGACGGGGTAACTCGTTAATCAATGGCTTAGCAGCCATCCGGGCAGCCCGATACTCTTACACCTGCGCATGGAGACATCCCACCATCGTTGTAGGGTCCATGACAGAGCCTTCAAACACTGCACTATTTCTTGTTTTCCACAGCCTCCATAACCCAAAAACCACCACCTGTAAAATTTCTTGAGAGTTCTGATGCTTCTCATACTTCTGTAATAAGTTGTCCCAGCACTCACTAAACTCCTCCCCAATCAACTGTGAAGCATCCAGCTGTATGGAACTTCCAAACCAAAAAACTCTAGCATGCTCACATCGAAAGAAAATATGGACTTGAGACTCTCCTTCATAGCCACAAAGGACGCAGGTATTATCAACATCAACTGATCGACGCCGCAAGTTTCCTTTTACTGCTAAAGTATTTCGACAGCTCCTCCAAACAAATGCTCGAAGTTTAGGCGGTACTTGCAATCTCCAAATGCTCTTCCAAAATTTCTCCCGATCATTTCCATAGCTGCACTCCCCTTCCGTTTTCCCCCCCAACTCACCACTTTTCCGTAAGGTTAGAGCAAGTTCATAGCCGGTACGAACTGAGTATCCACCATGCGTAGTAAAATGCCACACTAGTCTGTCATCACAGCCCCACCTGCTAAGAGGTAATGGTAATATAGTCTGGGCTTCCGCACTATTGAAACACCGCAAAATAAGATCTCGATTCCACATCTTCGTTTGATCGTCAATAAGTCCCTGCACCAAAACAGGTATCTCTGGGTGTCTAGAATAAATCTTAAAGGAAGAAGAGGAAGGTACCCATTTATCTATACAGGTACGAACTTGATGTCCATTGCCTACGCCATCTCATGCTTGCCTCCAATATTTTCCGTCCTTGCAAAATACCCTTCCACCCCCACGACGTCCCACGACCACCGCCAGCGCTCATGAAATCTGAGGATCTAAAATACTTGTCCCGATAAGTAGTGGCCAGCAGTGAGTCAGGGTTTTTGATAATTCGCCAACCAATTTTTGCAAGCATGGCTAGGTTGAAGCATCTAAGGTCCCGAAAGCCTATACCCCCAGCTTCTTTCAACATACTGAGACGTTGCCAACCAACCCAGTGGATACCCTTATGCTCCTTGTGCCCCTTCCACCAATATCGAATGATCTCCCTCTCTATCTCCTTGCATAAATTAATGGGTAACTGAAAACATGACATAGCATAATTCGGCATAGCCATGGCCACGGCTTTGATTAGCACTTCCTTCCCAGCTTGCGATAAATATTGTTCAGACCACCCCATAAGCTTGGCATTAATTTTGTTGCGTACCTCCTCAAAGACCCGCTGTTTTGACGCACCAAAATCTGCAGAGAGGCCCAAATATCGTCCGAACCCATCCTTTTGTTGTACCTGTAATATTTCTCCCACTTGCTTTCGGACACGAGCTTGACATTTTTTCCCAAACAAGAGGGAACTTTTATCAAAATTAATACACTGACCTGACCCCTTCTCATAGTCAACTAGAATATTTTTCAAGCACCTAGCCTCACGTTCATTAGCTTTGCAAAATATAACCGAATCATCGGCGAAGAACAACTGTGAAATACTACCTCTTTGAGGATGAAATCGGAAGCCCTGCAAGGCACCCCGCTCTTCCTGCTTCTTAATCATAGCTGACAAGCCCTCGGCACATAATAAGAATAAGAAAGGAGACAAGGGATCACCCTGACGGAGACCCCGGGAAGGTAAAATATGTCCTGTAGCCTCACCATTAACAATCACACTATATGTTACAGTAGACACGCACTCCATGACCCAACTCCGAAAGACAAAATCAATTCCCAACCTTCTCATCATATGCTCCACAAATGGCCATTCAACCCGGTCATAGGCTTTTGCCATATCTAGTTTCAGAGCCAAACTGGATCTCCCCAGTTCACCCTCCTTCTTAAGCGAATGAAGTATCTCGTGAACAATTAAAATATTATCTGTAATTAAGCGGTCTTCAATAAAGGCAGATTGATTGAGACTGATGATCTCAAGTAGCAAAACTTTGAGCCTAGCAGTTAAAATCTTGGATATAATTTTATACACCAAATTGCATAAAGCAATTGGTCTCCACTGTGTCATCTTCCTTGGAGTAGCAATCTTCGGGATCAAGACGAGATGCGTATGATTAAGAGTTCTATGAAGCTTCTCGGAGTGAAAAAACTCTTGACCATTCCACTGATATCCTCACCAACCACATCCCAATACTGTTGGAAGAATTTCCCCATAAATCCATCTGGACCCGGCGACTTTGTAGGGTTCAAGGATTTCACTGCTAGCCAAATCTCTTCAGATGAGATTTGCCGTGTCAAGCTCTGCTGCATGCTCACCCGTGGCTGAACACAATCAGTAATGTACTCTATATTCGAAGGGGAACACGTGGTAAAAATCTCCTGAAAATAGGAAATGATTAGTGGTTTAAATTCACTATCATCCGTACACCACCGTCCTGCAGAATCTTCTAAACCCACCATCCTATTTGCACGACGACGAGCAAGCGTCTTAGAATGAAAAAAATTTGTGTTCTTTTCTCCTTCATTAAGCCATTGGACTCGAGATTTAAGCTTCCAATATACCTCTTCCTCCCGGAACGCCTCTTTAAGGCTACTTTCCAACTGCAAGACCTCATCACGATCAAAGTCAGGAGCCAGATAAGTAGCTTTGAGTTGTTGCTGTAAGAGAGCAATAGTAGCCTTGGAACTTCTCCATTCACTTCTTCTCCAATCCAAAATCCCCTTCCTAACCCAGCATAATTTCCCCGAAATCTGTAGCCCCCTTGACCCTGGAAACTGTCTGCACCATCTCACTTCTACCACTTTTCGGCACCCCTCTGAATCCCCCCAGCGAGGATCAAAAATAAATCTTTTACGCCATTTCCTACCTGGACCTTGGGTTTGTAGTAAGAGCAGCACATGGTCAGAGCCAGGCACCACCACATGATGTACTGTAGCAGCTGGATACAGTGTAACCCATTGATCATTCCCAAAACCCCTATCCAAGCGTTTCATTATGCCTCCCTCCTGCCGCTTGTTCCTCCAAGTAAACGGATGACCCACATATCCCAAATCCAACAGGTGACTATTCACTGCAAATGTGGAAAAATCATACAAGCTTCGTTCCGTTCGTGGCAAACCCCCACGCTTCTCAGATACGTCCATAATATCATTGAAATCTCCCATAAGTAAGCAAGCCTCCTGACACTGGGCCATCCTATCTTGTAATATTTGCCATTGTGATCTCCGTACTCGCTCATCAATACTTGCATACACTGCAAAGAAGCACCACTTGGCACCATTCTCCTCATCCTTGATCACAACCTCAATAAAAAAATCAGCATACTTAAGTAATACAACCTGTGACATCTCCTTCCAGAATAAACACAATCCTCCACTCAAGCCCCGAGGCTCAATCGCATGCATAAATTGCATACCTAACTAACGTTTTAAATACCCATAACGTTGACTCCGATTTTTTGTTTCTAGGAGGACCACTATGTCAGGAGTTTGGAGCCTAACTTGCTCCTTCAAACTTGAAACTATCATAACACTCCCGATACCCTGACAGTTCCAGAATATGATCCTCATAATGCTCGCGGAGACTCGAGTCCGGTCTCCGCTTCTTAAATTAGAGTATCGTCAAAAGTTATCTCCCTTCGAGATCCTATACTGCCTATCCCTCCACAAGCTGACACCAACCGAATACCAGCACACCTCCTTTTATCCATACTGCCATTCTCATTTTCCTCTCTCCCCCTTTTGCTCCTAGAGCCTACACCACCTGTGTTAGAATTAACAGGTTGCCCAAATATAAGTGGCCCCAGATTAAAAGGATCAGACCCATACGTCAACGCCTCAGATTGACCCCCCAAATTCCCTCCGACATCAGCCCGGTTACTTAAGGCCTCGTGTATTGTTCCTTGCACTGTGGTCTTTTCCTCTACCCCGGCCACCGCATTCAAATCAACAGCGATCCCACTGTCAACAGAAGTTTGAACACCTCCATGAGGAAGATGAGGCTCAACTGAGTTCGCAAGCGAGACCTCAATGTTGCCATGTGGCCACAAAATTCCAGCCTCCCATGCTTCCTCCCATATCTGCCTATTCCGTTCTTCTGCCTCCCTTGTTGCACGAATTCTCCCAGCTAGATTAGAGTCCTCAGCATAACCCCCCTGTGTATGCCCTCGTCTTATCTGCCAATCACTACAGTCAGCTTTGCTTCCCCCCTAAACCTTCCCTCATATTCCCTGTAAAATAAGACTTGCGCCGACGCATATTCCCATCAATACTGTCCCCTGAGACCCATGGACTGGAATCAGACGACTCATTCCATCCATGTTGCCGAAGTCTTTGTCCGCGCAAGTCCTCACTTGTCTCCAATCCTACAAAAGCCATCATCTGATCCTGCAAATTTTGGGAACTATCTGCAGAAGCCAGTTTTTCAACACAAATCCGACTGGGATGTCCCAGACACCCGCAAAGAAAACAATATTCTTGCAAAAACTCATAACGAAAATCCACCCAAGTGGCACCCTCTTCAGGAAACTCAACAAAAGAACCACGCATAAGCGATTGCCGCACATCCAAACGAATACGAACGCGTAAGAACCGCCCTATACATTCTTCCCCCTCTGTATGGTCAACTTCCAGCACCTGCCCTAACACCGAACCTATTTTTCTGGCCACCACCGTGGTCATATTTAGCAGCGGAACTCCATGCATCTGCACCCAGAAGGAAGCCATGGATGCCTCCACCTCCCGCACCTCATTCTCAGGCTGGATTTCATATAGGAGTACGAGATGTTCCTTGTAAGACTAGGGCTCCATATCCAAAACACGAAGCATGTCCCGTCTACTAGCAAATCTTATCAGAAACTTCCGTTCATCAATCTCTTTTATTGAAACTCTATCGCCCCCATGCCATAATTTTTCAAAAACCCCCACAAACCCATCCGAGAATACAGCCTTAGAAGTCAGAACCCTTGCCACCAAGGAGAACCGCGACCCCCACATAAGATCGATTCCATCCCCTGCCTCAATCCGAATCCCCCCTCGTTCAGGTGCTGACAATCGTAGATGGCTACCAAACCGCTTCTCTAAATCCTCCATGCTGCAAACCACCACCACCTATACTGCCCACCCTTGCCAAAGAGACAAAGGCCTGTCAAGAACTAGCCGTAGCGAAATCACCCTACCCTGCTACGCACGGAAGCCCTAGCACATTTTTTTCTTCATCATTTTTCGCTATTTAGTCTAATTTATAAACATTTCTAATTTTTTGAAAAAACAATTGAAGCATAGTGGAATAAATATAGTAAAAATCAACTCATTTTCTAGCGGCCAGATTTTCATTACTAAAAGTCTAAAAATTTAATTGTTCTTCACCCTTTAATTTCCAAAATAGCATCTTTCAATAATTTTTTTACAAAAACCAGTTTTGTCACTTTAATGTTTTAATTTTGGAGGATTCCTCCTTCCCTATCTTGTCTCTAGGAATTACAATATCAACATTGATGGTGTGTTTACTAATCAGGAATTGGAATTCGAATAATGAATTGAATTCCAATTATGGAGGATTCTTGTGTTTACTTCACATCAAGAAATTAAAAAGTAAGTAGGACCCACACAAAATTAGGAATTGAATTCCTAATTTTGGAGGAATTCAATTCTTGGGTGGGAGGTGATATTCTAATTCTGGAAGAACTAACCCTTTAGGAATTCATTTTTTTTACCCATTATATCCTCACACAATTTTAAAATTTCCAAATTTGTCATCTACTTAACCCAACAATGAGGACATTTTAGTAATTAGCACAACTCCTACTATATGGTTTAATAAACAACTTCAATAGGAATCCGGATCTTAACTCTCCTTAATCCAAATGGTTTAGTAAACAACTTCAATAAGAATTTGGAATCTAATTCTCCTCAATCTAACTCCTACTCAATTCAATTCCTCCTAATTCATATCAGATTAGTAAACATGCCATAATTTATTTTTGAACTTGTACTTTTCACTTAATATCACTAGCCTCTTCGCCCCGTGAGAGGCTTTTTTAAAAAAAAATTTAAAATTTATTTTAGAATTAAAAAAATAATGGGTAGTTGTATTTCATAAAAATAGGATTTATTATCTGATTTTTCTTTTCATTTTAATTTTTTTTAATATGAAAAAATATGAATTTACTATATTATCCTCATTTAATTAATAATTTCAATTCTTAATATTTACATTAATTAAGAATATTTTCTGATATTTTTAATATTTTACTATTATCTGTCTTTTCCTTTATATACATAGATATTAGATTCTAACAAAACCAACCACTGGACGCAAATCTCCAAAGTAGCGGTGCCGCGAAAACTCCGAAAGTCAAAGAAAACGACGTAGTTTTTTTTTCGTGCCACGTTCTTTTGCTTTGCCGTTAAGGTATTCTCTCTCTCTCTCTCTCTCTCTCTCTCTCTGTGCTTCTTTTGGAGAAGAAAACTTGATGATTTGAATCTTCCAAAACCCTAATTCCACTTCAATGGTGATTCTTTCTATTCGTCCACGCTTCATTTGATTCTCAATCGCAGTATTAATCCAGGTAAATTAATTTCACCGCGATCTCTAACATTTTCTGTATTCTCTAATGTTTGGTTTTTTTTAGGCGCCTGAATTTGCATTGAAAGCTAACGTATTATTATGTTTTTGTCTTTCATTTGGCAGAAACTGAGGTCTATAATGCAAGATGCAAAGCCCAATTCCAACGAATCCGCACCGTTGATGGTACCCATCATTCTCTTGTAGCATTCAAATTGTTTATTTTTACAGTGATTTAATTAACATTTTCGCCGAAAGAATTACATTTTGAAAGCTTAGCTTAAGTTTATTTGTGCAATGGAAGGAGAATGATAATTATATTACAAAAGTTTTGATCTTCCTGAGATTTTGATAAACTATTTTAGTGTAGTTTTACGAGAATATAGTATTATTTCGAAGCACCAATACTAGCTTCTAGCAAGCATTGTTATTGGACTTTAGGGTACCAGTTGTTGATTGTGTCTAATCTCTATCCTTATGTATGAAGAAATGACAAAATTAGACGATGCAACCAGTGGGTTTTGTGGCCTGAATCTGATTGTGTTTTCACTTCGAATTTTTTTATAAAAAAAAATTATGAATCTCTTCATGGTATTGGCAATATCAAGCTTTGGTGATGTCCTCTGTTTTTTTGCACTTCTTCTTTATGTTGTATTGTTACGTAAAAGAAAATTTTCCAAATGTAATTCCTTGCTCATTTTTAAAAGCTCCTGTTTTTTCAGGCTCAGAATGATACTTTAAGAAATGATGGGGTCATCCCTCAGCTATTTATCTCTGTACCATCTCTGAACGAAGCTGCTTCTTATCTTTCTCAGACAACTTCATTATTCACACGCTGTTTCTCTGACTATTCTGGTAATCATACTGTTCCATATGGAGATTGCTTCAGTTTTTTATTCTCTTGTTTATCCTTCTTTATATTTTCCTAGCCTGTTGTGGAAGTGACTAATGTGGAGGTGGGGAGTTGGTTATCAGATGTATTAACCTGGAAAAGTATGCATGTTATTACCCATAATAGCATCGCCCTGTACACTTCCATTAGTTTGGATTTTTATTATTATTGTTATTTGGTATTTCCCTAAGTACAGTTTTCTTAGTTTTACTAGTTTTCTACCATGCCGACATAAATATCATACAAGATCAACCAAACTACTTGAATATAATTTTCTCTGGAGAATGAAACTGTATTTTGCAGAAGTACATGCCTTATAAGACATTAGACTAGCAGAGTTCGTATATTATCTGCAGACCTTAGTGTGAATATTTTTGCTAGGTATCTTCCTTTTCCATTTTTTTAACTAGTTGAAACTTGAAATGGAGCATAATTCTAATTTAAAGTTTGATCAGATAATGTAATCGATCCTTTTTCATCTGAGTCCTTTCAACCTTACTTGCATCTCTGAGTAGAATTTGATGATGTGGCACATTTGAATTAAGCTTCTCTCATGTCCCTTATGTAGTTTTCTTTTCATTTTTCCTTACTAATTATTAACCTATGATTATTATGAATTTTATATTTTACTTGCATGGATCTATTTTTCTGAGTTGTCATGAGCATTGGATCTTAGATTGATCTAGTTAAATGTCTCTGCTATTTTGCAGCAGATCTGTCTTCTAGCGATTCTGGGGTTTCAAATGAGCATGCTCAGGAGTTGGTGACCTTTTCGTCTGGACAACCTTGGGGATCTTTTGCTACATCTGGTGATCATGCGTCCTCAAGTGGAAACCACTCAGCATATGCAGAGTCATCTAGTAATGCAACAGATGCTCCCTCTGTACTTGATGGAACACTGAGAAGCTCTGCAGGAGATTCATCTCAAAATTCTAGTGCCCTCGTCAAATCTGATCCTAGTGGCCCGGGCAGCATTTCTATCTTTCAAGGGTATTTGTTCCCAGCATACTACTTATTAGTGTTTTTTGGAGATATCCTTCTATAATTAATATGAGTTTAAAAATCATTCTTGAACTGAAATTTAGTATTGTCAGACCGGCAATTTTTTTTCCAAAGAAAACTTGGTTGAAGAGAAGAACATTGTATAGCAATGCTAAGACATCAGAACATCAAGGATTATGTAGGACTCCAAGACAAAATCAGCAATACAAATGCCTAGTATTAAGTAACTGAGCTAATCAGACAACAATTAAGCTATTCAAGATAGTCAACTCTTAAATCAATTTACAGGCTGTAAACGTTCTATATTAATGACACTCCCCGTCTTGCTGGAAAGTGGATATCCACAACTCCCAGATTGCTACAAATAGAGTAAAACAAATTTGTTGGAAGAGCCCATGTACTAACCATCAGCACAACTCTCAGCCATAAATAAAAGAAATTCTCGGGGGGAAATAAAAAGCTTTGACCTGGAAATGATGTATCTTGATAGCTATTATACCACAAGAAACTCAGAAAACCGTAGTGGGTATTGTGGATGGCTGATATTTTCATGCTTTTGGTTTGTAGAAAATGACTGAGGATCAAGAGAAGGGTTTTTTTATTGTCATCTAAAGAAATGCATGCTAGTTATGGTTACAGTGATTCGAGGTAAGAATAACAACCGAAAAAGAAAGAGAAGACAAATTTCTAGGAATCTTTGTCCATGAAAACTACATAGCTTTAGAAACCATGAAACATTAGTAGTATGAGATGAACCTTATTAGGAACCATGCTGGTGTACCATTAGTTCCAATTATGTCCCAGTTGGGAATTCCACCAAAATATTCTTGGCTCGAAAAGCTTGTCTCCTAATGTGAAGAAACATAGGAATATGACTCATGACAGCAGTGGTTACTAGAGGAGTCTATGGGGGATGCCTTGTGGGCCCTAGATTGAAACTAAACCCAAAGAATTTCCATGGTATATCTTTAAGCTTGTTTTTTCTCTGAGATTCTTGCTACCTGCAGCGTTCACACTTTCCAAAATTAGCAGTAATGATTGTGTTCATTTTCAGCCTTGTTGACCGGGTGCGAAGAACTGTTCGTGGGTCTGCAGATGATATAGGATGGCTACAACGTGATCCAACAATGCCCCCTGTTGAAGACGGAACTGAAAGGTTCATGGAAATTCTGGGGGATATCAGGTGTGATACACTGTATTTTGTTGTGCATATAATATCTGCTTTGCATGTTAATGGCAATAATAATGGAGATGTTATTCCCTTTGACAGGCATGGTGTTCACAGATTGCCAAATTCGATGGTTTGTTTGTTGCTTCCAGGTATCATTCTTTATAACACACAAAAATTATTAATAATACTTAAGTCGAGAAATTACATTGCAAGAAACAACATCTCCATCACCTTCCCACTTTCTGCCCTGATGGGGCATGCTTGGATGCTGCCGGTGGTGGATTTAGGGAGCCTTCTGGGTTTCTCTCCACCGAATCTTTGCTCTTTTTGTTCCTACATGTCTTCTGGAGACTGGACTTCTAGAGTACATGGAACTTTTATTTTTTATTTTTGTTTTGCATATTCAATTTTGCTTATAGTAAAGTGCTAATGAAGTTTGGTTACTTATGTAATCAATAGGTCTTTTCAGCAATCATGGACCTCTATATTTTGTAAATACAAAAATGAGTCTCTCAAAGATGGGTCTGGCCTGTCATATAGCCAAGATTCATAGTGAGGTATGTTCTTCATTTAAATTAAAAGAAAGGGCTTTTTTGCACCATTTTAATTATATTCTGAACTGAGTTTTTGCCAATTACTAATCAGGCTTCAGTTGAGAAAAATGCTCGAGAGATAAAAGAATACATTGAGGAATTCTATTGGGGTTCCAAAAAGCGTGTTTTGCTTCTTGGACATAGCAAAGGGGGAATAGATGCAGCAGCTGCTTTATCGTTGTATTGGCCTGACTTGAAAGATAAGGTTGCCGGGTTGGTTTTAGCACAAAGTCCATATGGTGGTAGCCCAATAGCTACGGATATCTTGCGAGAGGGACAGCTTGGTGATTATGTGAACTTACGAAAGCTAATGGAGATTCTGATCTGCAAAGTGATTAAGGTATAATAAGGAGCGTGATAGTGATTTTAATATTAAAATGTTGTGCTATCCATTGAAACGACATTTACAGTAAAGCATATTTTCTGTGTTTATGGAGTTTCTGTTATCATCAAACATATAGTAGGTCATTCCCATGATGAATTTGTCACTTTTTCCTAGGATGTTTTTTTTAATATAGCATGTCATCTTCTTCTGTGAAGGGTGATTTGCAAGCTCTGGAAGATTTGACTTATGAAAAAAGAAGAGAATTTTTGAAGAAACACCCGTTGCCAAAGGAACTCCCTGTTGTTTCATTTCACACAGAAGCTGCAATCTCTCCAGCTGTACTAGCTACATTATCTCATGTAGCACATGCGGAGCTACCTATGGTTGCTCCTCTTTCTACAGGCCAGCTGGCAAAACTCCCAGTGGTAATTCCCCTTGGTGCAGCTATGGCTGCCTGTGCACAGCTTCTGCAGGTCAGATATGGCAAGAAGAGTGATGGACTTGTCACATGCTGCGATGCAGAAGTTCCTGGATCCATTGTTGTTCGGCCAAAACGTAAATTAGACCATGCCTGGATGGTTTATTCTTCATTGACAGATGACCCTTCTGAAGCAGATGCTTCTCAAGTGTGTGAAGCTCTTTTGACATTGCTTGTGGAAGTTGGGAAGAAGAAGTGCGATCATACAGACATGGAGCAGAAAAAGAGTAATCATGCAGATGTCGGGCAGAAGAAAAGCGATCATGCGAAAGACGAATGAGGCTGATGAGCTTACTTTTCATCGCATTGTTGTGCTTTTGTTGTAATATAGTAATTTACATCCTTTAGGGAGTATGGTTCTCATGTTTGTAGATAGCTGATGCTCGGGTCAACGAATAGGTTCCCAGGTTTTCCTTTTTTCTATCTTCTCATTCTTTTGATTCAATTGGAGAAAAGTTGAATAACTGTTAGACTTAGGATACAGTGCAATAGAAACGGAAGCTCATCTGTATTTTTACAGGCTAGGAAGGACGTTGAAAAGTAATGAATTGTTTTGCTACCACTCTAAATTTGTAGCTAAAGCGTATTTAATGTTGTACTCGCTAAGATAGATGTATTTCTACATGAACATTCCGAGGGTTTTTTTTTTTTTTTTTTTTTTTTTTTTTTGTTGTTTTTTTGTAAATTATACTAAAACATCCTGATGTGTTTTAAATTGTTTTCACGAACCCTAATTTCAATCCAAAATTAATGATGTCATAAAAAAAAATTCTCCAAAATGAACTGTTAACTATAATATAGATTCAGATTAACACCACCCTACTTGAGGTGTCAATCTAATTTTTATTCTTTCTTTTAAGGTTATTTAATTGTTTGTTTTTATTTTTGTATTTTTTTTTTTTTTTTTTTTTTTTTTTTTTTTTTTAAACACATTAGCAATTTTTGAACAGAAGATTAACGGGAGAGATTTTGTGAAAAAAATTGAAACCTCACAAGGTGTTAGTGTAATTTCCAAAACATTGTGAATTTTGTGAAAACACGAAAAACTTCACAAAATATGTTTAGTGGGTGAGAGTGTATGTAACCCTTTCTAAGGTGATGTTTCATTGCGACGATGGGATGAAATGGGAATGAGAAGTATGTTGGGAAGCACATTTGGCTACGGTACCTAATTGAGGTTCAAGATATGAAAAATAATATGAGATATTTAGTGATATACCCATTCTTAGCACTAATATTATAGATAAACCCTCCATCATTGAATTTCTATAAACAAACCCAAAAAAAACCCCAAAAATGACAGCTGGCCTTATTGAATTTAATATTGATTATTAAATTACTTTAATGCCCTATTGAGTGTTTTGGGTATTTTATGAGATTTTGAGGTTGGGCTTGTTTTAAGAAATTTATGGTAGTTTTGTAATTTATAAGAAGTTAAGGCCTATTGTTATGTTGTAAATGGGTTTTGGGTGTGTTTATAAAGTTCATTTCATATGGGGTATTTTTATAATTTGGGCCCCCATATTGGGTATATTAGTGAATCTCCCAAATAATATCTCAGTGGGAGTTCCGACACATAAACATTGCAAGGAAACACCGCCTAAAAAGTCAGAAATTATTATCTTATGATAAACTTGAAAAATAATATTGACATGTTATATTCAACTAAATATTACATCATTTTGTAAGTAAAATGTAATAAAAGTCTCCTATCACTTGTGCTACTTTTCCTTGACAAATTTATTTTTGGATACATTCTCCTCAAAAAATTTCACAAATAATAAATTTATGTCATTATAAATGCTATTCTCTTGTGACTAAACTTTCTCAACAGAACTTTCTGGATATGGTATTTAGATTTTATAGCTTTTGTGGTAGCATACTTATATCACATTGACGGTGAGAGATTAGGGTTTATAACTTTTGTGCTTATTTACTTATCTCACATTTACGGTGAGAGCGGCGCAATTGCAGTCCTTTCTCCATTTCTAGCTCTTAGAGCAGCTTCATAAGCCTCGATCCTTTCTTCTGGGCTAACTTGGAGATGCTGTTGGAAAATTAGAGCCTTCAACAACAACCTCTCTACGATGCTAGTTAATTTCGAAAAGTCATTTATGCGTCGCGAATTTTAGTGAAGAGAAAACAGAGGTAAGAGACTGTCCAGAGCATTACAACTAGTAATTTTTTTTTTAAATTAACAAAGAAATAACCTCACAAACATGAAATTGCTTCCATGATCAAATTAAGAGACATGCAAAACTTGAAATGAAAAAAAAATATTTATTTTAATTGTTAAATATTGTTGCTAGAAAAAAGAAAATTATAGTGAATTATAGGAATTTTTTATTTATTTATTAACTATTCTCTTCTATAAATTTGCTTTTGTTTATGTGATGAATGAACATCAATTGGAATGGTTAGGTTTTGATTGATTTGTTTGGGTGTTGTACTTTTTCGATCTTGTGCTAAAAGTTTGAAGAATTTATTTGTTGAGCATAAAATTAGTGATTATGCCAAGATATTGTTTTAAATGCTCACTGATTTTAATTAATCAGATAAATTTAGGCATGCACACTTTGATATTAGCTGTTATTGTTTAAGCTTTCACATTAGTTGTTATCTTTAAAGTTTAAACTGTTCACTATATTCTCATTTGTGAGTTTTAGAGATAGATTTGCTGCTAATTTAAGTTGTTAATCTTCCAAAAAACTTATGAAAATTAAATGATATTTTAACTTGATTAGACTAAAATATTTTCTAATCATTTTGGCTAAATGTAATTAAAGTTCGAAGAGCATTATTGGATTTGCTCTACTTTCATTGAAACAAATTATTTTAGGTGAACTCTATATTTATTACCATTAAGTCAATGATTACATAAAAGATTATCTAAAAGATTTTTTTTAGTTTATAAAATTATTAATTTTTGTTTTGATACGAGCTATATTCAACTTTAATTTAATTTAAACTACAGAAAGAGAAATTTAACCTCGTGTGTGCAATAATAAGAGTTGTAGAGCTGTTATTATTATTATTATTTTTCAGTTAAAGGTCTTTATCCCACTAACTCCTCAAACAGTCAAAGTCACTCAATTTGAGAGCCCAACTGGCAACAACCTAGGCAAGTAGAGTGGCAGTTTCATCATGCATAACTGCAAGTGAAAGTGAGCAAATAATCGGCTGCGGGCCGAAGTAGATCCAACCTCACTAGCAACCAATCACACTTGAGGCTCTCAATCCAACCGGGTCTTAGTTGACCTTGTATTCCCCGAACACAAACTCACCTAGATTTAATACCCAAATACCCTTCTTACATTCACGAAATTCCGTGCTGCCCTTCTTCGTTTTAATTCTGGTACAAAATTACAAAACCATAAAAAAGTCAATTTATTTATTATTTTCTATTTTTTCTGAGTGTGTTGGAGCCTTCCAGTCACAGCCGAGAGCGCGAGAGCGAGAGAGACAGAGGGAGATCAGATGGATCAAAACTCCTAAACACTCTAAAGATTAAGAGAGAGAGAGAGAGAGAGAGATAGAGAGAGAGAGAGAGATTGTGGGCCTTGAATTAGGGTTTGAGAATTTGGGATTTCAAAGCACAAAAGGAAACGAAGGACCTGTCCATTTTGTTGGTTTTTTTCTATCTGGGGCTTTCAACTAGGGTTTCTCTCTCTTCTATTTTTCTAGGGGTTGATGGTGTGCCTAGTTGTAGTTTAAAAGGAATTAATTTGTTTGGGGCTGTTCTTGTTTAGGGGGGTCTGGTGTAATGTGAGTGGAATGTTTAGGGGGGGGTTTCTAGGGTTTCCAATGGGGAGCACAGGTGAGCATGATCGAAAACGCCGTCACTTTAGCTCCCTATCACCCACGGCTGCTACTGCTAAGAAGCAGCCCTTTTGCCCATTTCTGAGGACAAAAAGGTGAGGCCTTTGTTCCTGTTGCTTCTAGTTGCACATGTATTTCATTATTAGTGTGAAGCAATTCTGTGCTTGGGTTTGAATTTTGGATTATTCGTATTGGGTATATTGGTTTTTGTTATTTTGCTGATTTAGTTTGCCAATAATTTGAATAATTCAGCCCTATAGTCATTGTTGAAGGATTTATGTCGCTTTTAGTTTGAGGAATTTTACTACTTCATCAATTAAATTACCACTTTATTGTGATGCGCAAATTTTCAGTCTCTGGTTTTGCCCCCATCTAGTTGTAATGATTTTATGGACCCAAAAGTTTGTGATGATTTTACCCAATGGCAATTGTTAGATGATATGGTTTGAACCCAACACAAAATTAATGTGACCTGCTAACACGAATAATATAAATTGGGCCAGTGTTAAACACAGAGAACAATACTCTGAATGAAAGACAAGTTTAACTTGTATGTGAAAATTTTCCTTTTCATTTCTTCTCTGATATTGTATGAATCCTCTTAGAGATAGATGCCTTTCTCTTGGTTTCTCTAATATCTGAGTTGCTTAAAGGTGTGTGGGAAATGAGTTTATGCTAAGAGATAAAGTATCCTAGTTGAGTTTAATGGTTCACAAAAATGTGTGTTGACTTGAAAACAATACGATTATTAAATAGGTTTGCTTGATATAAAGTCATCTAACACAGGCTAGGTAGACTTAACTGGTATTTGACACAATGCAAACATGATACTTTCCATCTTTAAGGATTATGTGTGCGCTCCTTAGATATATTAACTTTACAGGCCCACGCACTCCTTTTTTTGGTCAAATATCATTTCTTAGTTAGGTGGGCTCTAAAATATGATAGGGTGGGAGAAGAAGAGAGAATATAAATGAGATGTTATTTAGTACTTATTTGGATGTTCATTGAAAACATGAAGAGATAATTTAAATTGAATGCATTCATTTGAAAGTCAAATGAAACACATAGGTGATTTTCTTTAGATATATGTAATCTTCTTGTTTTTTAACTTATGTTGTACTTTTTGACGTGTAGCTTGACATTGCTGTCCTTCAATATCAAAATCAAAAGCTATTACAGAAGTTAGAGACTCAGAAGGTTGAGTACTCTGGTCTTGAGAATAAATTTTCTCAAATGAAGGACAAACAAAAGCCATATGATACCACATTATCAGTGGTCAATAAGTCTTGGGAAGAGGTAGGAACCCTCTTGTCTGTTATGACTCTCTCCCTTGCTCTTCTGCATATGGTACTATATATTCTTGAGGGGAAATTGACTATATGTTTTGACAATAGGTGGTTAATGACTTGGAATCATGTTCCATCCGTTCAAGAGAGTCGAGCTGTCAGCAGGATGTTAAAGACAAGTCAATCATGGATGGTGAGGATCATGCTTGTTCCATGCAGTGGTGCTAGTTATGATGAAAAAGCTTAGTTAATTCTGGGTCTAACTTCATGAAGTCTGTGCGTGTTTTCTTATGTGCATATATATATAATATATATATATATATATACATATAGTTTATACTAAACTTGCTAGTTGCTGTAAAATTATGAGTTGGCTAAGTAAAGGGGGGGTTTTCTCATGAATGTTGCATAGGGGGACTTCATTTTTAATTAATGCTGATTGAGTCATTCAATATTGTATAGTGTTATTTCTTGTTAGACATGTTGTTCATCCTGCTATCCAATTACATTGTATTATGTTTTTAGGGGCGGTACATCTATGGTAATCTAAAAGAATTCTTTTGAAGCCTTTAGGCATTAATGAATGCCTCAAGTTGGGATGATTTTTACACACTGTCAGTTTTATTTAATTTTCAAAGTAGTATTATTATTATTTGCTCACAGTCCCCTGCTCCAACTCTGATTTCTTAGTTCTTTACCATGTTGTTTCTTCTTTTCATCTATATGTTGTGAATCAGTGATTCACAGAGCTTGAAAAATTTATGGGGTTCTGGATTCGTACTTTACATACTTGTAAGAAGCATCAGTACTATGGGTGTTCAAATATACTTGCTGCTAAGGTTGCCTTGTATTGTTTATCAGATGGGGCTCCATCTGCGTTGCAGGATGCTTTTCTTATCCGCCTTGCACAAGCAGGTGCAACTGAAAGTTCATGTACATATAACATTTCTAATCAGATGGAAGAAGGTAGAGGAACTACCTTTGAAAAGACCAAGAATATAATAGGTAATGTCATAGCTGCAATTGACCACCAGTGGCATGTGAAGGATGCATTGCATGATGCACTATTGAAAGAGCTTCCAGAAGAAGGTGAGAGTTTAGGAGATTAGATGTATTTCACGTATAATATGTTGTGAAACATTCCTTTCAAAATTATCCCTCAGATTTTGTGTGTGCTGCTCCTTTTCATAGGCACAAGTAGGCAGAAGACATCAAGTGACTTTAAAAATGAAGTTAAGAACTTGAGATTGGCATTTAGCGATATGTTTGTGAAGCACAAATTGCTGGCAAGGGAACTGCAGAGCCACCGTGACATGGATGCAAAGAATAAAGCTGAACTTAGACGTTTAAAAGGTAAAATATTTTTAGAATCCTTGTTGGTTTTCTTTTCAAAACATTTTGGTAACATCCCCTTAGTTTCTTTGTTGTATTTTTTTATTTTTTTATTTTTGTTGGGGGGGTGGGGCGGGGAAGGGAATAGTTATGTATTGATTTTTGGGTTTTTAATGTTCTCCATTGTGGACGGTTTGTCTCTCTACGAGTCTTTGTCTCTCCATGATGGGAGAATCTAATGTACCACCTATAATGGGAGTTTCTCTCTCTCTCTCTCTCTCTCTCTCTCTCTCTCTCTCTCTCTGTATATATATATATATATATATATGAGCTTGTTGAATTGGTATTATTCTTATGATGAGAGTTCTCTGTCCATTGCACTTTTTTCTTTTCATTTTTTCTTAATGTTATGTTTTATATATATATATATAAAAGTTGTTTAATCACCTGTCCTTCAAAAAGGAGGAAGAATTTTATTTCAGTTGGTTGTGATTCTCATGGTTTGATATGTCACTGAATGTTCTGAAAGTCTGTTATGTTTTGCTTGTATTTTGAAGGGGAGTTGGAAGCTGCAGTTAGTGAATTAGCGGATAGTAATTGTCAACTAGCAACTCTTAAGGCAGTGAGTGATGCTGCAAAGGGGCAGTTTTCCCAGTCCTAAATTTTGGGAACAAGCATGTTGATAGGGTTAGAGATAAGCAAAAAGATCTGCAAGATATGGAGTCTACCCTCAAGGAGCTAATGGTATTGTGCTGCCTTTTATCTCCTTGATTCACTTCTGAAAGCTGATTTTGAAAGGGGGTAATCATGTTAATTGATTCGAGCTCTGCAGGACCAAGCTTCGAGTCGTTTAATGGACATAAAAGGCCTTCATGAAGAAAGGATAAAAATATTACAGCAGTTATCTAGTTTGCAGGTTATTTTACTGTGCTACTATGGGCTTTTTCTATGTAAATGCGAGTTCAACTTTACTCTTCACTTCTTGCATTTTTGAGTTCTTATTTAGTCATGTAAGTGAAATTGGGATTTTTTTATATTTTTTATTTGCAGAACATGCTAAAGAATGTGAAGTGTATTTCCTCTTCCCAAGCCTATCAGTTGGTGAGAGATCAAATAGAAAAGTCAAAGTCTGAAGTTTTTGAGTGCCAGGCCTTATTTGAGAAACTACAGGTTGTAACTGGTCGGTAGTTTCATTTATGCCTCTATCGGTAATTTTGTTGAAACTGTAGTGTCATTATGCTGATAGTTTCTTGTTCCTTGAAATCATTAGGTTGAGAAGGATAATCTTTTGTGGAGGGAGAGGGAACTGAATGTGAAGAGTGACATTGCTGATGTTTTCGAAGATCTTCTGCAGTTGTTGATTCTAGAATTTCTGATCTGGGTATAGAAATACAGAAACAGATTGAGGAAAGAAAAATGATTGAAGCGAAGCTGGAAGAGGCGTCAAGAGAACCAGGTTAGAGAAAATCTGATGCTTTCTTTTTAACTCTGGAATTCTTGCTGCATTTTTTCGCTGTAGACACCCTGAAATTGTGTTCACTATTTCAGGAAGAAAAGAAATCATTGAAGAATTTAAAGCCTTGGTTTCTTCATTTCCTGAGGAAATGGGTACCATGCAAGGTCAATTACGTAAATACAAAGAGGCTGCTTCTGATTTTCATTCTTTACAGGCTGATGTGCAGTCTCTTTCCAGCATTCTTGATAGGAAGGTGGGTATTTATGTTATTCAGTGAAATTCTTGGTTGCATTGAGAAATTTAAACTGTTTCCTTTCCAAACAGGTGAAAGAGTGTGAGACTTTATCTGCCAGATCCACAGATCAAGTTGCTGAGATACAAAAGTTGAATGCTGTGGTATGTGTCTCTTCCTACTGTGACTGAATTTATGTTGCATGCTGGGTGGAAGTGTTGAATTAGTGAGCTTGTCTTATTTGACTGAGGCTTTTTGTTAAGTTTATTCATGAATAAGTACCACTTTTAAGTAGCCTGCATTTTTGGGATAAAAAGAAAAAGAGTCATCTTTGAGCAGTAGTGTTGGTTGTGTCTCTATCATGTTTTCGACATGCATAGTAGATTTATTATGTTGGTGGGTATGTTTTGTGGATTTGTTACATTCCATTTGATAGTTGGATCTGCTTAAGTTTCACTTGGTATGCACTTACACTCATATTTATATAATATTAGATATCAGTGGCTCTTGGGTTATAAAATGGCTTTGTCAACTTTTTCTTATGTAATATTAGATATGATTTGTTTAGCTTCATCAACTTTTTCTTTCCCCCATTATTTAATGTAGGTTCATGATTTAAAGGAGAGTGAATCAGAGTTAAAGCTGATTTTGGAAATGTATAGACATGAGTTGACTGATCCAAGGTAAAGTGCCTATACAAGTGTTTGGTGGTTTAGTTATGTGCAGCTTTCATTTAAGTACTTTGCAAAGAATGGCACTTTTTGAACAGCATCTATCCAGGACTTATCAAAAGAATTTTAAAATTGTCTTGCATTTTTTTATATTAAATTGTTTCTTTCTGTTAACTAAATCAATGCAAGTTTTGTAAGGTATGCAGTTGGGTTTCCCATAATTATTCACAAGTGAATCTTTAAGGTCTCATTTTCATTTTTTTCCAGTTACATGATGCTGGCTTCAGTTGAACAGTGTCATAACTCAATTGTAATAGTTAATGTGATTTTACCAATTCAGCCGATTTGCTTGTCATGTGTTGGTTTGATTGTGCAAAGGTAACATGTGTTTGATGTGTGGAGTTTATCTATTTACAGGGATGTCTTGGAAGCTAGAGATTTGGAATGCAAGGCATGGGCTCATGTTGAAAGTTTGAAGTCCTCTCTTGATGAGCACACCTTGGAATTACGAGTTAAGACAGCAAATGAAGCTGAGGCCATTTCTCAACAAAGGCTCGCTGCTGCAGAAGCTGAGATTGCTGACTTGAGACAGAAATTCGAAGATTCCAAAAGGTATACTTTTCTGATGTGGTCAAACTGTTTTTTATTTAGTTATTTTTGTATGATAGGAAACATAACTAATTCAGTAAAAATGAGTAGAAACACGTTGAACCAATGTTCCACCTAAAGATGTCTCAACAATACAAATACATTGGAAAAACAGATTACTTTCTGATCAAGAAGCATAAACAAAAACACATGCAGGCCAAAGAACCCCAGAGAAGCCCAAGATACTGTTGTTTCCCAGTTCACATTCAATTGATTTATTTATTATTTGTACTTATCAAGTCTCAGTGAGGTAAAATAAGGAGATAATATTATTATTTAACTACTACAAGGGTTACTTTGAACCTCCAGACTATATTTAAAGTATCAGAATAATTTTGCATAATCAATTAAGCCTTTGGCCACTAAATGGGATTGACAATTTATGCTGCTGTCAGCCTTGTGCGACACTCTGCCTTTATCTGGGCTTAAAACCTGCTTGTTACAATGTTAAACTCTAAAGCAAAATGCAGGTGGAATTATAACTTATCTATGGTTCTTTATGGTAACTGGTAGACTATATTTGCTTAGGCAGTTCCTAGTTCTCGATTGACATGATTCTTGCGTAGATGATTTGTTTTTTCCCTTGATATTTCAGGGATATTTTGAGACTTTCTGATGCTCTGAAGTCCAAAAATGAAGAAAATGAGGCATACTTATCTGAAATTGAGGTTAGTTCTCTTCTTTGTATGTGGACGAGATCTTTCATTTGTCATTGGATAGTTCTGACATTTTAGTTTGATTTTCTCAGACAATTGGACAAGCATATGATGATATGCAAACTCAAAACCAACATCTACTGCAGCAAATTACTGAGAGAGATGACTATAACATTAAGGTGATTAACTCAGCATTTCCTTGTATCAGAAGGTTTGTGGTGGTGTAGATTTTGTATCCTATAGTACAGAAAGAAAAAAAAAACACAGGCAATTACAGCATACAAAATGAATAACTATGCATAAAGTTTCTAGCATGGTTGAATTTTGATGACGTTAACTATGTATTTATTGTACTTTAAATGTCAAATTATATGATAGGATAAAATTATTAATATTTAACAAATAAATTTTTTTTTGGGTTGTAAAAGTTAGTTACTTTTATTTTAAAAAAAATTTATTTTGAGTATTATTAGGAAGGCTTGAACATTTTCTTAAAATTGGTTACTTTATATTGATTATGGTTTTTAAGAATAATGTAAGCATGCATCTTTCTCAGAAAAAAAAGGCGTTATTAATATAATTTTTCATTAATTCCTTTGGTTTTATTTGTTTTTTTAAGTTTCTTAGGAATAAATCTTTTAGTTTCTCATTGTTGTTGGCTGGGACGTGAGATAAATATAAAATTGTCAAATGCAACAAATGTGATATTGACTATTGATTATGACTTTATATTTAATAAATAGAGCTCTGGTTTAAACCCATGCAATCAGAAATCAACAAATTCTTTTTAAGGTAAAGACACATTATTTTATTTGGCTGGTTTGAACAACCCTGATCATCAGGGCAATTAGTTCCCGGTTAACTGAGTTGGAACAGTCAGTCTGAATCTGGTTTCTAAAGGTGTTCTTTTCATTGGATATTTTTCTTTTTGTGATGTCAACGCCTACCAAACTATAATTTTTTTTATTTATCTGCCTCATCCAAACTGTTTGTTTGGATGAAGTTATATTTGAAATATAATTGGCAACCTTTGAAAATGCCAGTAATGCATGGAACGGAAGGTTAGTAGTATTTTTTCCTTTGCCAGATCTATGCATGGATCAGTGTACATGTGGTAGGCTAAATTGTTGGATTATTATATGCACGTTCTAATATTAAGCTTCAATTTGCGGCTCTCTTCTTTCAGCTTGTTTTAGAGGGTGTGAGGGCTAAACAGCTGCAGAAGGCTGTACTCATGGATAAACGGAAAATGGAGAGGGAGATTCAACAAGGCAATGCATCTCTTAATTTCTATAACATGAAAGCTGCTCGAATTGAAGATCAGGTATTTCTAAACCTCCTATAAAACTTGAAATAAATTCATATGGAGTTGAGCTGAACTGATTGTTTGATACTTTCTTTACAGTTGAAAATGTGTAGAGATCAGATTCAGAAACTAGCAGAAGATAAGTTTCAAAGAGCAATTACATTGGAAAATACTCAAAAGAGATTGTCGGATGTCAGGAAGTCATCTCAGCAGGCACAGGAGGCTCTAGAGGAATCACAATCTAAAGTTGACAGAAGTCGAATGGGTCTGTCAGAGCTGCAGATAGAACTAGAGAGGGAAAGGTATAGTGGACGTTCTGCTCCGCTTCCTTCCGATCTTTTATAATGGTTGCGTGACCTCGTATTTTGTTGTTTGTTAGGTTTGAAAAGAAAAGAATAGAGGAGGAATTGGAAATTTTAAAAAGAAAGGCTTCACGGCTTCGAGCGCAGACAGAGGGTTCATCAATTGTTGAAAAACTTCAACAGGAACTTGGAGAATACCGGGAGATACTGAAGTGTGATGTCTGCCTTGACAGGACAAAACAGGTATCTATTGACTCAACTTATATTTATTTAATTCCCATTCCACATTTCTTAGCTTTTTGGAGGTGAAAATGTCCAAATATTGGATCCTAGTCAAGTAAATATGTGGACCAACATGGAAAATGCGAAGGTGGGTATGACTTCCTGTGAAATTTATAACATCCTACAGCACTTTTGTAATGAATTTGGGCATTAAATGATACACGAAGCATCACAAAATTTGTGGATTTAATTTTAAACTGAGATAACTTCTATGAGGAAAGGTTGCACATTAATATCCATTTGTGGTTTTAAAATCTTTTGCTATTTAATATCTGTTTAGAGACCAGTCAGTCAGAAATTTCATGCTTACTATCATTGTCATTGTTATAATCATCATTGTGGTCATCATTATTTTGGCGTTTCTGGCATAGCGCTTAGTTTCTTTTCTTTATCTTAATGCCAGGTTGTCATTACAAAATGCTATCACTTGTTCTGCAACCCTTGTGTGCAAAAAGTAATTGAAAGTCGACAGAGGAAGTGTCCACGGTGTTCCATGAGTTTCGGCCCTAATGATGTAAAATCTGTATACATCTAAAAGGAGATGGATGAAACTTTAATGAGACCTGCATCATGCATGTGCTTCAGTGCATATGATCCCAGACATGAATTATGAATTCCTGCAGATTCCCATGTAATTGTTAAATTAGTGAAATTGTAGAGAAGCCTTTGTTTAGGAGCAGCTCTCCTTCCCTCATCAAACAGTCTTAGTTTTGCTGGTTCTGCTTCTAGGTTGTCAATTTAACTCAATTTTCTAGTGCAGAATAATCTTTTGCCCCTTTTAACTGCCTGGAGCCTGGAATCTTTCAATTTATCGTTTTCAGATTTATCCAAATGACCCATTGAGATTGTATTCCCGGTGGCGATGCAGCCTGCATGATCGTAAAAAGAATAAGATTTTATGTTCGTAAGTCAAAAAATGGGGTTCTCTGATTTGCACTTGTAGTCAGTGTCTTTCCATCCGAGGGTTTGTTTCTTGCCGAAATTAGATGAACCTGCAACTGAACTTTCGGCTGTACAGATTTTACTAGATGTTTAGGTAGATCTTTTCAAGATGTTTGGTGCACAACATTTCTTTAGAGATGTAAATGTTCTTCAGATGGATTATTCATTTATTTATAAATGCAAAGATCTCAGTTTTGATCATTTCTTCTTAGTAGTTTATCTGCAAATTTTCTTGTTCTTATTTGGACGTTTGGTTCAAGCCTTCATGGTTGGCATTTGTAGACCTGTGGGCGTTTCTTTATCCTTGTTTCTTTTATTATTTGTTCCGAAGGGATTTTGTTTGTTCTATTTGATGTTCTTCCCCCCAAAAAAAGAGAGAAAAAAGCTTAATAAGCCTAGTCAGCCTTTGATCAGATTGAATTGGATTGGGAAGTCCATAATTCAATCTACATTGGATTGTATGCGAATTGGCTAAACATTATTTGTTTTGAACCTGAGCACCCCTGCATTATTTGGACAATTTTTTGGTTCATGTGATTTCTGATACACTTCCTCGTGGCATAAACCTTAAATCCTAAAGTTCCAAACTACAAAAACCAAAAATGTAATTGGACGGTAAAAGAATCTACAAGGACGTAAAGTACAAGGGCACATGCTCATTCTATCTGCCATTTTGAAGGGAGTTTCTAATTCATAATTGACGAACTTCAGAAGTACAGGAGCGCACGGTCAACAATGAAAACATAAGAACCAGAGTTAAAAAATGGTCTGAACAAAAGTAGCACACCTTTCGTTTAGGGTTTTGTTTTTTTTCATGTCTAGAGAGGGTAATTGAGCTAGTAAGTTGATTGAGGACGTAACATGTCGAGTGAGACATAGGGTAGTATTACAGTGGAAAGTGGATTATGGATTTTAAGATTCATGTTAACCCCAGAAGCAAGCAAATTGTTTATCCGAAAATCTCCTAATGTTAGGGTTACTATTCCATACCACTAAAATAAAGCACAATCACAATCGCAGTAGAAGAAGACTGAATATTATATACTGTGTTTGCATAATATGAGTAGGAGAAGTTATGTGCAGAGTTACATAGTTAACTTGGGATGAACATCACCCCATCAAACAATAGATGGGAGATTATGCACTGGAACACATACCAACACCGGAGAGAATTTAACATAAACAATTTAGCCATCTGTACAAGCAGTCAAACATAATGCAATTGGGAGCAGATTTTGAGGATACGTCAAATACGGTAGTCTCAATGATAATATCTTTAACTTCCAATTCCGATCCACATCATCCTAGTACATATACAATCCCCTGAAAATACAAACAGAAATCCAGTAAGTAGGTTATAAACAATGACATGCAGCAACAATTTTTCTTATTGGAGGGGGGTAAAAGGGCAATCCCCATACAAAGCCCAGTTGGTAAACAAACCACTGTCCAGCATCTAAATCAGTCTTAGAAACATGAAATAAAATTTTGGACATGCTATAGAGAAGTAATCTTTTTTTTCCCCTTGGAAGTACATTCCTACTGTAAATTTGAAACACATCTGAATAGATTTGTTTCATAAACTTTTAAAAAACAATAAATCTACAAAACTGAATAAAGTGGTCTAGAGTCATGACTTCCTGCGGAAGAGACGGTCCCACAATATGATGGGAAGATAGCAGAACTTTTGGTTCCAAGGTCTTCTGACTTGCAAGAATAAAAGAGTTGAAAGTAGACAGAATGAATGCTTGTTATGTGAAGAACAATAAAATCCCTTTCTTACTCTAGATTTACCTTGCTTAAGTTGCTAACTGCTGGAGCTGCCAAGATCAAAGTCCATCGTATAGTCATATTCAATAGTTGGAATTACAGAGGCAACAAATTTCAAGAATAAGAAAAGGTACCTACAAAACAAAACTTACAACGATAAAAAAGTTGTTGCATTGACAGTTCAGGGTGCTGGTCTAGTAAATCATGACAATAATGTTATTGCAGGATCCATATCTGACAAATTGATGATGATAAAGTATGAGATGTTTTTATCGATATTATCCCGCATGCTCAATACAGCCATTCTGAGATAACCTTATTTTCAGAACAAACCTATTTTGACTCTTAACTAATTTATATAGCTTTTATATGTGACTCGATTACTTGATTGGTGTTATTAATTGGCAATTATCTACTCGATACATTTTATAGATCAACAATTCTTTTACAACCCGTACGGGGGACACCTCAGTGCTTATGACCCATAGGGCCTTGGTGGTGTTAACTTTTCAAATAGAAAAAAAAAAAAAAAAAAAAAAAAAAAAAAAAAAAAACTAATAAAATCATTACGTGACAAACAATTAGCCTCTGTGTGTGTAAAGGCATACAAATGGGTGAGTCAAGACGGGAAATTACTTATCAACTTCTGGTTCCACTCCACGTGACATAAGTACATCAATAATCTTTTTCATCACAGCTCCATGTCGGCATGGATGGACAGATGCATGCTTTCCAGGCAAGTGGGGATGGTCCTCAATTGTTACCTGTGTCCAAATGATTGAATGTCAAAGCAACGATTTAACCATCAAAGCAAAAATAACCAGCTTACTGCATAGAAGACAGAACAAAATTATCACACTTAACAGTAATGTTTAACTCTATCCCATGGAAGAAAGTAAGTGCATATTGAGTAAAAAAATAAAACAAGGAAGAAGAACACAAAAATCTAGATAATATCTAAATTCCCTGAGTTGGAAAGTTCTACCTAGAGAAGTTAAGCAATAAACAACAAACTCATAGCCTAAAAAGGGTAACATCAAACACTTTATGAACAATTGTGTCCTGTAAAATGAAGTAAACACATCCTCTTTATGTGGCACTATCCATAAGGCATGGTTTCACACGAGACTGTCAAAACAGTTATACAAGCAAGGAATAATATGATTCTGAGGCATCAACTCACAGTTTTGCGTGCATGATCTTGACTGACATCTTCAAGTACGAGCTCTGCTTGTAAAAGCATCCTTGACTAACAGCATTAGAAATGGAGTTCAATTAGTCTTTGAAGTCTTTATATCAGCAAAAAGTTACATTTTAGAGAAAATGAAATTAGACAAACTGAATACCAACACAAATATGAAATTTTAATAAGTCTAGAAACATGTAACCATAAACCAACTCATACATTCTAATAACCAATTAGCCAGAGACCAAGGCATAACCAGGATTGAGGAAATATAAAAAATCAGGTACCTTTACACAGCCGGGAACTGAAACAAAACACTGGTTTTATTGACAGTATTTTATTTTTTATTGTAGGTACAGTAGCAGAAACATCTTTTCTAAAATTATTGTTTACTTTTCATCTTTATTTTGTTAAGATGAACTGGATCTTTAATTATTTAATTGCAAGTGTACTTACAGGCACCAACCCTAACAGTATTGAGCACCAAGCCAAAGAAAATACGGGGAGGAGTAAGTTTTTTTGCATGACATATATATGTATATTACCTATCTTTAAAAACAATACACGCACACTCTAGAGTAGCAAGTGAAAAATGAATACATGCCAAACTGAGCCAAGGACTTAATTGGGGCTCAGCTGGATAGTATGCTTTCGTTACTACTCAAGTTTTGAAGTTGATCCAGGGACCCTCCAGTTAGCTGTCAACTTATTTTATTAGTATCTCTGCTGGAAGAACTTGGTTTCCAACTACTTTTGCAATATTTATCAGCTGTATAGCACATGCACTCAAATAAATTTTAACAGTTTTCAGGCACAAGATCATAGAAAAATACAAGTTACCAAAGAATATAAATGACAAAAAGAGAAAAGCCAAATGGTTATGAGTCTATTTTATTATTCGGCTCCATAAGTCAAGCTAGGAACCAATTGAAACCAACTTTGCTGTTTCCAGTGAATTTTCTGGCTGTCGCTCCAGACGATTGTGTTCCTTTAGCTGTTACTTAATTTTAGTTGCATGCTAACGTTCTTTTGTATATGGTGGACTGCTTGTTCGCCGCTCTTGTAATTTCGGCTTTGTTTTAGATAAATATTTTGTATTTCTTTTCTTTCTTTTTTTTAAAGAAAAAAGAAGAAAAAGGAAAGTAAAAGGACTTCACTCGTTTTGAAAGAAAACTCAAAAACAGACTCCAGCTTGACTCTGTTGAGCTAGAGAACGATCTTAACATGTAGACTTCAACGACTCAGTTGAATACCAAATGACAGCAATTCTTGATAATTAAAAATTTTGGAAAAGAAAACAGCTAGTTACTGAAACAAACCTCATCATACCCAGTCAGCCACACTCGAGGAGTTTGGTAATATTTATCATACCTGAAAGTGAGTAATATCAATTAAGCCATTGATGCCAACATAGAATTAGCTACAGAGACCAACAAATTGAAGTGAACTTCAATTGCCTTATAATTGAGCTATCAAGAAAGCAACACTTTATTACCAAAAACTTTGAAATAAAATGCAACCATTTCTCCAAAAGGCAACATGCTTCTAAGTTCCACATGGGGAAAATATTGGACCTGGTCAACAGTTAAAAAGAAAACAAATCTTACGTAATGCTGACATCATAGGTTCGTGTTCGTAAAATATTGTCATCTTCAGGTTCATGAGCAATAATATAAGTTCCCTGCAATTTAAGACAAACCCCAAAAATTCTTAGCTCTCTACGATATATTAACATCATTTTCATGGTTGAAAGCAAAAATTAACATCCTGTGCAAGAGACTAGGGAAGAAGGTTGCTCAAGATCTAGATTAGATAACATATAAAAATAAAGTTTCAATGAAATATCAAATCCTTCTCTATAACTATCCCCCTCACTCCTACCCAAACAAGAGACTCTTACCTCCTCCATCTCTTATTTTGTTTGCACTCATTAAAATTGCATACAAACTATTTTTATCATAAAATTAAGTAATTTTAAGAAAGTATTAAGACTAGGGCATAACCCAATTGGTAGTCACACCTCTCGTTTAAAGAGGAGGTCAAATTTCCCTCCCTGAACGTTGCTACTAATCAAAAGAAACATAAATAAACTATATCATGTGTATTGAACAGGCTACAACATGAAACTTATCAACGAGTAGACCCAGCACAAAGACATGAAGTTTTAAAGAGACGAAACTATCACTGCACGCCAATTAAACACTTACAGGATCTATTTCAATGTTGTCAGCTTCTTCATAGTCAGCCATGTCAGGAATATCGTCTTCATCTTCCCCTCCAACATGTGAAGGGGCCAACTTCACAGCCTTATTCTTGCTGATTTCTAAACTTTCAATGGAGGGTAAGTTTTCCTCCTCGCAACTTCTATCTTTTAAAGATAAGAGATAGTCTGAGTCAATGGTTCTACAAAAATATTTGTGTACTTTAACCAAAGTAACTTACCCTTTGGCTTCCCATGGGTTGCCAACCAGCCATCATTATCTTCATTATCAAGAAGAACTTCCATACCAGCAGCTTCATACTCCTCTTCAATAGATGCAGCCCTCCGTAAGCAAGGGACTGGATAAGAAGTAAACAGATCACCCCATGTAATTAAAGGTACAGGGCAGCGATAAGCAAGGGCAGCAGTTTTCTTTAAGTTTATACTCTAGAGAGAGAAACCCCACGTGCACACACAATACTGGGCAGTTAGCTCAAATGGTTCTTGATTCAATGAGGATTAACTCCAACCAACTGGATTGCTTGAGAAAACTTTTTAACTTTTTGGAGGCCAAAAACAGAGTATAAGACAAAAAAATCTCATTGCTTGGTTTTCTTTCATTTACAGAAACCATGAAAAGGATCACTATAAAGGTGACATAAATCAATGATTAAAATGAAAAGGAAATTATACAAAACATTGAGCACTAGCAATATTATTATGCCTGAATATTATAATCCCCAGTAGCTATTAATAACAAGATGAAAATTTGTCGCAGGAAGTGGGAAAAAACAAAAGGATTGCAAAGAAATAGAGTAGTGTGATGTCATCATACCATTTCTAGTAATCAAATACTGCTTTTCTGGTGGTAAGTATGGCTTCCTCTTGCTTGGCTCACCTGATTCCCTAACATGATATGAATCGAAAGGAAAATACCAACCAAAAAGTAAGATATCACCTCAAAACTTGTTCGTAAAAAAAAATAAAGTGATGAGAAGATACAAAAGAAATAAAATCCAAAGAGATTAAGAATTGTAGCCATCACTAATAAGACTCTACAGTCTAAATATGTAATAACTATTCAACCAGCATATTTGAAAACTCTAAAACAGGCTGCTTCCTCTAAATTCAAATGATCAGAATACTTAATCAAACAAAGTTGTTCTTGTCTCTACTTTCTTTCAGCTATTTTCAAATAAATTTACATCCCTTTTCCTTTTTAAAATTTCATCTTCCTGTACTTTTACTGAATTTGTTTTAAAACAAAAACCCATAAACCCAATTGATAGATGGGTTTTTTTATTTCATTTAACCCTGCAATTCAGCCAAGTTGATTGACAGAATCAGTGGCAAACTCTTAAAACCCTCGCTTCACTTCCCGAACTTTATTTTTTCAACAAATTCATAATAGCCATTAGTCAAAATGAAAACCATAAACAATCCGAACATAAAGATAACAAATTACAATCAAGTAAAATTAAAATATCGAATTTTACAATAAATAGAAACAAAGGGAAGGAAAATACCAAGACCAGGTGGGGCACTTGGAGACGAGGTTATCACCAGCAGTGACGAACTCGGTGACGCTGAGAACACCCTTTTCTTTGAAGCTGAGACCGTACGAGGCCCTGTGATTTTCTCTACGGTCCCTTTGAAGGCCTCGTGAAGCTTCTGCGACAGAACCATCCTCTTTCTTTTTCTACAGAAAATAAAAATCGCTGCTTTTCTTTGCTTTCCTTCACCAACAGAGAGAGAGAGAGAGAGGGAGAGAGACTCTTGGGAGAAGCGATTTCGTGCGTGGTAACGACAGATGAACCATGTGCATGGTTCTGTCGTTTATTCGCGGAACGACGTATTCCCGGGGAAAACTAAGACGACGCCGTTTAGGTGAGTTTGCTGCGCGTTCAGCTTTTGGCAGTTTTAGTATTTTTTGAAAGAGATAATATTAACCAGCTAATAATGATTTATTAAATTAGTTCGAATATGAGAAATGCATTAAATATTGCAGAGCGTTTATTTTGAAACAAAATTTGATTTTGTTGATGCCAAAATTTTCAACAAAGAGTAAGAGCTTTGCTGAAAAAAAAAACATCTATAATCGAAAATCAAATTAAAAACCTGTAAATGAACCTAATTCGAATCCAATTTGACATATTGGGTTCATATTGGACTGGATTGGATCAATTTTAAATAAACCGAACTTGTGCCAAATTCGGTTTGGCTCGACTCATTTACACCTCTACTTTCTGTTTGATACTAATGAAGAAGCAAAGTGTCTACCTTTGCAATGTTTTGAAGGATATACAACAAATTGTAGTTTGATCTTGGCCATACGGGTGCAAAGTGATTGACATACTCTTTTTGAAGACTCATTTTACAATGTTTTGAAGGAAACAACTTAGGGGCTTCAAAGTAATCCTTATCTAACTTTTTTATTTTGGTCAAATCCTTATCTAACTTCAAACCCAATTCCTCCACATCCTATGTTTGTCAACAGCCCAAGTACTTCAGCCACTTTCGACCAAACAAAAAAAAAAAACACAAAAAAAAAAAAACAAAAACAAAAACAAAAGTGCTCAGCCACTATCTGCATCTTGCCCATCAATCCTATTCTCCATATTTAACGTATCACCAAAATATTCCACGTGATGGAGCCATTTTCTAAATTTATGGGGATTTTTCACTCTCTTTTAGTGCATTGCAGTAACATTTCATATCACTTGAGACATTTGGGTTTTATGATACTCAATGCATTGCACTATCGATTCTGTAAAGTTTAAAATAACAACAATAATGCAAAAACAACAAATTTAAATCCCAAATTTACACCTTAATTAAGCATATGAAACTAATGATTTATTGTACAATAGTTATAGGTATGAGATTATTACACATAAACCCTAAATCCTAAAGTTTCGTACTAAAGAAACCAAAATTGTAATTGAATCTTAGAAGAATCTATAATAAAGAGTAATTTTTGCATGTTCCGAGTACACCACGTGGTTGGTGTACTCTCCAATACACATAGAACATGTGGAAATATTGTCAAACCAATCGGAATCATGATATTACATTGGTTTTGTGTGCTGCATATCTAAAACGAACCAAACCTAACCACATATCTAAAATGAACCAACCCCTACATGTCCCACGAACACCGCAATAGGCTAAAAATTTATGGTTGTTATAGCATCAAATAAGGTTAAAAAAGGAATCCCATCATGACAAAATATGTTCATATATAGTAGTTTCACAAAAATGCAAATCGATCTTTTCAAAAAAGCTCAAATCATAATCCCCATTATCATACTCTCACATTCATAAAAATTTAAATCCATAACTATGTCAATACATGAATTTGACAAAAAAATTCAAAATAAAGTTTTGCATTTGCATTGCTTTTAGCTAATATTTTTTTTTATATATAAAAAACCCAGTGACTAAAATGGTATTAAACCTAACAAACTTAACATAAACTAATCGCAAGTCTTTAAATTATAAACTTTTGATAATAGAGTGACCAATTTAGCTAAATTTATTTTTAAGTGACAAAAATAAAATTCGTGTAAAATCTAGTGGCCAAAAGAGTATTTTATTTCTTTTTTCAGGAGAATCATTTTTTATATTTTCATTAGTTTTTTTTGGTCGGAATATTTTTCATTAGTTAAGAAAATAAAAACTAAAAACTAAACCCTATCGTTCGGCCAACGACTCTTTGGGTCCTAAACGTTGCTTCTGTCGGCCTTCTGTGCAACAGTCCGCCAGTAGCGGAAGAGAGGGTTACCGTACATACAAGAGTCTCCTTGCTCCACGTTTTTAGTTAAGTAAACCTTCGTTATAACATTCCTTTCTTTTTAGGTAGGTAAGAATAAGAACCAGTAACTTGAATCATGTAACCATTACCCAAGATTCCCCATTCGACTAGGATTGGTTCAGCTTTCCTAGCAAAGCAATACACTTTCTTTCTTATAGGCTTGTTTGTCACGTCTAATTTAGGGTTTTGCTCTTGCAAGGATCAATTGCGTGCTTTACACGGCACGGCTGCTGGAGTTGAAGAAATCGAAAATTTTGCTCCTTGTCTTTCGTTGAACCATAAAATAAAGGCTATTGGAACCTCCGTCTTCCGTCGAAGACCTCCTTCCTCTTCTCGACGTAAGCCCCAATTCCCTTTCGAATGGTTATGGTTTTCTATTTCGTTTTCTTTTCGAACGGTGAAGTTTGTGCCTTCAGTGGTTTTTGTTCCTTTCTGTGTGGTTATTTTATTATACTCCTTTCTGTGTGGTTAGTTGTCAATTTAGTGAAATGAGTTTCGAATTTTGTTGTTATGCAAGCTTCTATGCCGTAATGCTGTGTTTTCATGAGGTTGAGGACGAGGGGTTTGAGTCTCTAGCTCACTTTCCTCTTTGGCTTCTTAGTATTTTACTCTTTTTATCCCTCAGTGTGAACATAACACAGGTCTAAAAGCGGTACTTTAATGTCAATTATGCGTGGCCAAAGTAAAAGTAAATGATGCATATTTTTGTGGTTTCCTGCACAGGGGATGATAATATGGTTTATGCATTTAATGTAATACCAATCAAGTTTTAATTTTTAAGAATGGTGAAGGTTTTAGATAATTTTAAGGTTAGTTTTTATCATATACGACATTGCTAATAGAAATCCTTATTGTTCGCAGTTTCTGTAAGAATACTGAAATGGCAGCCGAAGATGCAAAGAGCTTCGTAAGGAGAGACACACTCAGAAAGATTGAAGAAAAGATTCAAAATTTGTGGAAAGAACATGATGTTTACAGGGCCGAATCTCGTGAAAAGCCTCCTGAGCCAGGGGAAAAGTTCTTTGGGAACTTCCCGCTCCCTTTCATGAATGGTTTTTTGCATCTTGGACCTGCATTCTCACTCTCAAAGCTAGAGTTTTCTGCACGTTATCATAGATTAAGAGGTGCCAATGTCCTCTTGCCTTTTGGTTTCCACGGAACTGGAATGCCCATCAAAGCCTCAGCCGATAAAATCGCACAAGAGATCCAACAGTTTGGACATCCACCAGTCTTTCCTAGCAACAAAGAGGAGCAAGGGAACCATCAGGAAGCTGAAGATGCAAATTCAGGTGCACGCACCTACAGATAATAAGTTCAAGGGAAAGAAGTCCAAGGCTACATCAAAGTCAAGTGGACAAGCATACCAGTGGGAAATCATGCGCAGTCTTGGCCTCTCTGACAGTGAGATAACCAAATTCTGTGAAGAATCTGAATGGTTGAACTTCTTCCCTCCAATGGCAATGGAAGACCTCAAGGCTTTTGGCTTGGGATGCGACTGGAGCCGATCCTTTATTACTACAGACAGGAACCCATATTTTGATAAGTTTGTGGGGGTGGCAAATGAGGAAATGAAAGACATGGATAAGGTTGTGAAAGCGAAACGTTATGCAATCTAATCCTCCAGAGTGCCAATAAGTATTTGAAAGACTCGATTGATATAATGAGGAAGAAGCTTGAAAAGTACAAGTCAAATTTAGATAATGTTGATAAGAATGGTGCTCCAGTTACATGTTTGGTACAAGGCAAGAAGCTAATAGGCCTGATATATGTGAAGGAGCAATTTGATGAGTGGAAAGCAGAGTGCTTGAGGATACTCCAGAATAACTTCAATATAGAGACTCGTACTTTTGCTCCGGACAGGGTGATATTGGAGGCATTGCAGAGTAGTTCTCTAGGACAGGCCAAGGGTTTAAGACAAATCCAGAATCTTTGCATGCCTTTCGTGAGGTTGAAGAAGAAGGACGCAGTTCAACTTGGAGCTCAGGCCTTAGATTTGAAGTTACCATTTGGAGAGGTTCAGGTACTTGAAGAGAACATAGACTTGATTAAGAAACAACTCGTGCTCGAAGAGGTACAAGTTTTGTCTGCTACCAATCCTGATGATCGTGCAAAAGTTGGTCCTCATGTTAAACAGATAGAGCAGAATCCTCCATTCCCTGGAAGCCCAACTACGATCTTCTTGACCCGATAATTGTAATCTTTTTGGCACATATCTGGAACTTTTATCAGATTATTTTACTTACTTAGCATCTTAAGTTAATTGGATCTTATTTGAAGAATTCGTAATTCAGTTTTCTTACTCTCTTTTTTTGTGTCGTTTGCTGTTATGGTGTTTAGTAGTGGTGTTAGGAACCAGGTATTGTCTTTCTGGAGGAGACACAAAGTTAGGAAAGAATTAAGTGATAGATATGGTTGCCTGAAATGTTTTCTAACAAAACTGAAGAAAAATAAAGGTAACACCAGAAAATCCTAACTTGGTGCTACCAAGGTACGGGTAACAACCACTTTTCAGGTTTCATGTGGAAATAAGGAATATATGACTGAATCAAATATGTCTCCATTTTCTCTTGATCGAAAAGAGAAACTATGAGGCAAATTTTTCTGATATTTCATTTGTTTGTAGGCTCCAGGAAATTCTTCCAGCAGAACTCCTTCATGTTGGTTTCGGCTTCAATTTAACATTGGGATTGGAAGACAATTCCAATCGCCCTGAAAAAGGACTAAATAAACATCCATGTGACTCGAAAAACTCCATTCTAGAAAACATAAGAAAGAAAAATAAACTAAGGGGCAGACTAACTGAACTCCCATTATGAAAGAATGACAAAGTAAGTGAGCAATAAAGAAAAATAAAGGATTTTAAGAATCTACCAAATGTAAGTAGCTATAAGAGAAATTAGAAGCCTATAGAAGGAACAAATGCATTTGGATCATATCTAGTTAAGCTAAGCTATAAGCCATAGGAATCCACAGTTGAACTTTAAATTTGTAGAGAAACCCATATGTTATATTACAAGGTGCACACACACACACACAGAAAACTTACTCAAAAGGGAAAATGCATTTTCATTAAATCTATGAGCTGTCAAGTTGCACTATGTTTTCTATTAGCATTTGCCAGTAATGTACCTAATTCTTTTATTCTTGTATCACCAACATAGAAATTATTGTCAAAACACACACACACTGTGACACCATAAATAGACCCTTTAAAACTAAAAGTGCCATTTTGCGTCATCAAACTAAGGATTTTGTTTTCCAAAGAAAATTTTGGGCATTTTTCTAGCCCTAGGATGTTTTCAGCACATTTCAGATGTGTTACAGAAGTTTTTTTGGTCATTGGTTGAAGTTAAATGCCAGAAAATAGCAACATAGCTAAGTAGGTTCTTATTTTGGTCAAAATCAAAATTTCTGCCTAATGTATTTTTTGTTGTTTTTCAGGTCAATCTGAAGCCACCGACATGTAGATAGTTATTCTAATTATTTGGACCAGGTTTTGGGGTCTCAGGTGGCCTACATTATGTTTTAGGATGATTTGAAGCTCAAAAAGGACTTAAAACCCATAAAACCCAGCTGCTGTTTTGCCCAGAAATTTGAAGATTTTTCGTCACCAAAGGTTTTTAGCGACGGATGTTCATCAGATTTTTCGTTACTAAAAGTAGAATTTCCAGATCAACTTCAGACCAAATGTCATCATGATCAGAGACATGTAGGAGTTATTTTGGGTCCGTTGACATTCCAAGGAGCAAGTTGTGGGTGTTTGAAATCATCTCGTTGTCTATCCTCTTTCACTTCGACATATTCTACGCTGTGCTCATCCATACACCAACACAACCCGGGAAGTTCTCACACCCTCTCCCTCTCTTTAATTGATTTTGCATGACCTAACTATACTGCAAAAGTAGTTCTTCCAGCTGAGATGCTAATTGAATGAGCTGACATGTTTCGAGACTTATCTATATTATAATTTTGTGTCCTGGTATCTCAATTTGTCTAGTTTCTTTTTCTCTAAAATGTAATTTTTGTTGATACAGAGACATAGAACACTGATTAAGCTCCATTTCTAATGCTGTTAGTCAAGGAAGCTTTTACAAGCAGAGCTTGTACTTGAAGATGTCGGTCAAGATCGTGCACGCAAAACTGTGAGTTGATGCCTCGGAATCATATTATTCTTTGCTTGTATAACTCTGTTTTGACAGTCTCTTGTGTGAAACCATGCCTTGTGGATAATGCCACATCAAGAGGATGAGTTTACTTCATTTGCAGGACACAATTGTTTGTAAAGCCTTTACTTATTGATGTTACCCTTTTTAGGCTACTAATTTGTTATTTATTGCTTGACTTCCTTAGGTAGACCTTTCCAACTCAGGGAAGCGATGAGATCTTCATCTAGATTGTTGTGTTCTTCTTCCTTATGTTATTTTATATTTTAGGTACTTTTATCAGGTTCTTATTTACTTGATATGCACACACTTTCTTCATTGCAAAAGAGTTAACATTGGCTGTTAAGTGTGCATTGACTTCTATTGACCTATGCGCAAACGCTTTGCTACTATTGATGCCGGGATGGGGCTGAATCACTAGGGTGTCAAGACCATGAGGTGGAGTAATGATGTATATACTTATCAAAAGGAAAATGCAATAATGTAAATTATCATTTTTTGAGAGTTAATCAGAAAATTTGTTCAAGGTGTTTCGAATTACCAGTAGTAATGTACTTTGCAAAGGAAGAAAATTCCTTCTCTATGGGCATGTCAAAAATTTTGTTTCATGTTTTTAGGACTGATGTAGATGATGGACAGTGGTTTGGTTTCAAAGTTGCTGCTGTATGTCATTGTTTATAACCTACTTTACTGGATTTCTGTTTGGATTTGCAGGGGATTGTAAATGCACTCAGGCGAGGTCGATTGGAGTTGGAAGTTAAAGATGATATAATTTAGACTACTGTATTTGACTAATTCTCAGAGTCTGCTCCCGATTTCGTTATGTTTGACTCTATGTACAGATGGCTAAATTGTTTATGTAAAATTCTCTAAGGTGTTGATATTTGTTCCAGTGCATAATTTCCCATCTATTGTTTGATATGGTTGATTTAAAATTCCTATCAATTGTTCGAAGACAGAGTGCTTGAGGATACTCCAGAATAACTTCAACATAGAGACTCATACTTTTGCTCCGGACAGGGTGATATTGGAGGCATTGCAGAATTGTTCTCTTGGACAGGCTAAAGGTTTAAGACAAGCCCATAATCTTTACATGTCTTTCGTGAAGTCGAAGAAGAATGATGCAGTTCAACTTGGAGCTCAGGCCTTAGATTTGAAGTTACCATTTGAAGAGATTGAGGACTTGATTAAGAGACAACTCGATGTTTGAAGAGGTACAAGTTTTGTCTGCTACCAACCCTGATGATCATGCTATAGTTGGTCCTCATGTTAAACAGATAGGGCAGTATCCTCCATTCCCTGGTAATTATAATCCTTTTGGCACATGTCTGGAATTTTTATCAGATTATTTTACTCAGCATCTGAAGTTAGTTGGCATCTTATTTGAAGGATTCATAATTCAGTGTTTGTTTTCTTTTCTTATTTTGTCATGTCGTTTGGTGTTATGGTAGTCAATAGTGGTGTTAGGAACTAAGTATTTTCTATCTGGGGGAGACACAAAGTTAGGAACCAATTCAGTGATAGATATGGTTGCTTGAAATGTTTTCTATCTTTGAATCAGAGTTCAACTCAGAATTTCTTCGATTCGATTCCGCCCCTACTTCAATTGATGCTAGATTACAAGGTCATACTTTGATATGTTCATCACACCTCTCTTGGCTCTTTCAATTCTTTTTATCTTTTAATTTCCTCTCTTTTGGATATGCATCTATCCATGAGAACCTACCCTAGTAAAATATAAAGCGAGATCAGACCTTCTTGCCCTCCACTGCTAATTTAGATCAGGTGAGAATTAGATGTCTGGTTGATAAACAAAGATAATGCTTGTGACATGTTCTGTGGCTGTGGGCAGAAGGGAAAACTTAAAATGGGGGCAAAAGTTGAATCCCTTGTTGACTGAAGTACAAGGTCGGATGAGAACGAATCCGCGTCCAATTAGAGGAAGTTGCTCCCGCAAATGTCGTAAAAACAAATAAGATTTATGCGTAGCGAAATTAGGCTTAAAATTTCAGCCCACCACTTTTTCAAATTCGAATCTTGAATCCATGCCTCTTCAAATTTTTTTTTTTTACCGAGAAAAAGCGATAGTAATTTATTGATAAAACGAAATAAAGTACAGAGCAGTCATAATGTCAAATATGAGTACAACATCTCCAGTGACCAAACACAAAAACAATTTGGGAGAGAAACAGCAAATCTATATTGAAAATTCGAACAGTAAAATGCAAATTTATTTTGTCGACTTACTATTTTATCATTTTTTTATGCACAATGTTCTAACAAGTTAGTTTCAAACTTTCAAGTTAAATTAAAATCACATTGTTTGATGGCTTTTGTTTTAGGCTGACCCTATATAACTCAACTCACTTTGGCTTGACATGTGGTTTATTTTGTAAACTAGAACCTTAACACGAGTTTCACTGAGAATGATTCAACTGTGGAACCCTAATCACTGGGAAAAAAAAAAAGTCGTTTTAGCTAGCTTAAAATCCAAGCCCTATTGACCCTACTCAAATGGGATTCAAATTTAAGCTAAAACCAATTCTCTTATTGATGGTCATGGTTTCAGGGAAGAAACAAGAGTTGGCTTTGGGTTTTGAATTTTAAATTCTAGAAAGAAAAAAGAAAAAGAAATTGTGTGATAAAATATTAGCATTGTGGAAGGCAAAACGCCCTCACATTCCCCTGGACCATAGTGTCCTTTGCTGTAGTTGAATTTTGATAGAGACTTGACTCAACGTAAGTTTAGAAATGTGTCCATGCATGTCCACGGTAGGCCTTCTTCACATGCATATCGTTCTCAGTAAACCAAGACATAGACATGGCTTTCACACCCCCCCTCAGGACACGTTTGCTCCCTATGAGCCTAAATGTCCACATTACAATGTCAAATCTAACGTACGTACTGTTTTACATTTTCCCTAATTAATGTCCACATTGGTCTCTGACACCGTGATTGTTACATCTCTTTTTTTAATTGTATTAATGGTAATTACACATGTGGGCGACTTTCAACTGTATTTGCATTGATAGTTATCGTGCGAGTAGGCATGCCTAGTCTCACTCAAGTTTTTGTTCATTATTGTTTTTTTTTTCTTCCATAGTTTACATGAGATGTAGAGTATCAATTTCACATTCACAAGTGAAATTTTGACCCCATCCTACTATACTATTTAATTACATGTAACTCCAAAGCTATTACAAGAAGAGGTCCACTTAACCAAGTTAAGGGGCAACACAATTAGCTGGTGTGGGAACATAACAAGATGTGACCAAAATCAAAACTTTGACACCTTTGATATGATGGATTGGATCAACCAATCTTCTGCTTCATTGAAAGTTGCAAAAGCTTAGGCACCTTGAAATTAATTTGTCATCTCCCTCCAATGTTAGGTTTTTTAATTTTCTTTTTGAGTTTTGAGTATAACAGTAGCTAACCTGTATATATATATGGATATTTTTTTTTTTTTTTTTTTTTTTTTTTTTTTTTTGTTTTGTTTGAGTACTCCCTGAAACGAACACTCGGTTTCACTTCATTCCATGAAACTGAAATTTTTTCACTTAACCTCAGGATCTCTAAAAATTGCTAAAAAGTTCTCACTTTACCACTTCCGTCAATTTCCATCCACAAAACTATTTAGTATGTTGACATGACATGGGCATTTTAGTAATTTTAGTTATTAATGTTACATCCCGGGATCGGCTTCACCGTAGCACGATATTGTCCGCTTTGGGCCTCCTTCTCTGCCCTCACGATTTTGTTTCTGGGAGCTCACAAGCAACTTCCCAGTGGGTCACCTATCCTGAGATTGCTCTAACCCAAACTCGCTTAATTTCGGAGTTCTCATGACTCCGCAGTCTGTGAGCTCCCAAAAGGCATCGTGCTATATGGAGGCGGACATGTACATAAAAAGCACATCACCCCCTCTCCATTGATTGACATGGGATGTTACAATTAAAAACTATAAAATCCAGATAAAAAATAAAAAATAAATTTTAAACATTTTTAAAAATTTGTTAGGTAACAAACCCATTTCTTCCCCTCCCCGTTAGCTCACCAACCATCACCTCTATCTTTTCTTTTTATACTTTCCGGTCACCCCAAACCAAAAAACACCCTGCCCAAAAAGAGAGAAGTTAAAATTATAAAAATACCCATGCCACGTCAGCATACTTAATGGTTTTGTGGATGAAAATGGACAGAAGTGATAAAGTGGGAAAATTTCAGCAAATTTTAGAAATTTTGGGGGTTAAGTGAGAAAATTTCAGTTTTAGAAGGTAAAGTAATACCAAGTGTCCATTCCAGGGGAGAAAATAGTGTCATTATATTGAGTTGTTTGAAAGGTGTCCATGTACTCAAAATATGAATTTTAAGCTGCAATTTAGAGTTTTTGAGGCTAGCTCAAGTACGTGACGGTGGGTGGAGAATTGCATTAAGTTACATCTTCAATCCTTTCAAATGTAACAAATAAGAACTCGCGAGGTTGCAAAAACTATTACTATATAATAACAATATTATATAAATAAAGTTTAACGAACTAAATATTTAAATTTAAAATGTATTATGCAACCAAAAAATTTGGAGCTAGAAAAGCCATTGGTTTATCAAAAACATACATTTAATTGGAAAAAAAGAAAAAAAAGAAAAAAAAGAATACACTTTCAAAAAAAATTTGAAAGGGGAAACTAGTTGAAAGTACAACTTTTTTAGGGAGCTCATGGAGAATTATTTTACCATTTCCGCTGAAAGTATTTTAGAAAATTAAGATCCCACGATCAAGCTTGGCTCTCGAGAAAATGCTTTTTTCGATTGCGAAAGTACTCAGAAATTAGGATTTTTCTTGTACTATCTCAACTATATAATCCATAATATATCTATACCAAGCCTCCCAACCGAAGCAATTTCCAGGCAACTCCTTCAATCATGACCTAATTAAACTTGCTTGGGTGCATTCATATGACCCAAAAAAGAAATTGCTTGCATTCTGCACTCTAAGCCTTGTCTTGTTAACCATACGCCTAATAATGCAAGGTGGTCAATCAGAAGCTAGCCCTAGGACCAGCCGTGATTTGACACGTATTAACTATTTTGCCAGTTAATAATTAATACCAAGGCACCACACGCCTCAAACTCAAGCCTGCATGGAAGGTTTGCATTGTTCTTATCGTCTGATATATGCAGTCAACTTCCACAGCTAAAAGTAAGCTTTCATTGGTTTAATGTAATGAAAAAAAAAAAAAAAAAAAAAAAAAAAAAAAAAAAAACAAAAAAAAAAAATTATTAACGGTAATATTAGAAAAGAAGAAAAAGGAGAAAAGGAGAAAATAGAAAAGTAGTTCCGGAAAATTTAGGCAGTTTCTATTCACACTCTCAATTTGTCATCTTGCAGTTCGAAATCAATATTTGTTTACATTTTAAAATATTCACACACAAAAAGAATACATAATGGCAAAGTGAGGATGTATATGATAAGTTCTAATGTTTCATGAGAATCAAATGAAATGAAAATATATGTTCAAATTTTTAGTTTGCTTTTTTTTTATTCTCGAGTTTTTCATGAATTTTGTGAACAACAATCGGCCAGGCATGCATGCGTATACTATACGTCTTCCTTTTGTCATTAGCTCATAAAGGTAGACACATCATAGTTTCCCAAACAAATGTATAAATAGATGCAAGTCCAGGGAAAACAAAAGAAAATAAAATGGTGAAAAAGAAATAATTCATATAAGATTTGCTTAAATTGATGTAATTGATTCATTTTAGGACAGTTTGATGCATATAGTTTGTCATTGAATGGATTAAAAAAAGTGATCCCACTTGTGAGAACAATTTGTATCTTATTACGTGACAGTGTTTGATGATGAAACAGTTTAGGAAAATTTTCCTATATATCTATTCATGTAGACTTGATCATACGCAATCTTTTAACCGAATTATTTTGCCGATGTCATGTTCACATGCGGAAGAATGGCATTATACAAGTCTTCCTTGGTCCATAGTAGAAACAGATTCTCTGAAAAAGCCTCATCATGAGAAATTGGATTCTCTTTTCCTTTCAATTTCCGTATTTCAAAATGGTTTCATAAAGGAAAAAAAGAAGACGAAAATAGATTGAAAGCAGATAGCAAATCTTAGCTTATGTCAATTTTATTCACAAAACTGGATTGTTGTCCTTTCAATTATTGTTGTAATAATAATAATAATAATAATAATAATAATAATAATAATAATAATAATAATAATATTTCTCTAAAATAAAATTAATAATATCTTTAAGATCTAAAAAAGACATAATTCCACTATTTGTGAGTCAAGTAGACTAGTACTTTAATTTATTCACTCTTAATTTATTTATGCTATGATCTTGAAAGATTAGCAGTTGCATAGAGATTTTAATTTCTGTACATATTGGAGGCCAAATGGCACTAAAAAATTGCTAAAAGCTAATTAAAGAAACCCCTCACAAACTATCACCAACCACACTATATATGCAAATTTGCATAAATCTTTGTTTAGAATAACCTCACTTGGTTT